CTCCTCTTTTGTTGCGCGGCGCGCTGAGCCATCCCCTCCCGGCTCCTGTGATGTCATCCTTGCACTCTCGTCTTCACTGGATTGGAGGATCTCGACATAAATTTCCTGAAAACTCCCAACCCTTTTTTTCTTCTCTCCCAACACTGCACGTCCCTTATTTCCTGTCCCAGAAAAAAAGTTCACTCGCGGAGCCGAGCAGCGAACTTTTGGACAAAGCCGTCACGTTTTAGTCTCGCTTAAAGCTAGTTTTTATCTTCAGCATCTTCTCGTACGTTTTGGGAAAGTATTGTAAAAATGGAAGACGTGAAGCGGAGGTTCCATAACCTGCATCTCATCGCGGATGAAGCAGAAGAGCGAGCAAAGAACTGCCAAGCAGAACTCCACCGTGAACGAGAGGAGCGAGAAAAAGTGAGATCTTTTTGTATTTGCGCACTAATCCATTTTCAATGAATGTAGGGTTTGTCACACATTCTTGACTCTTGGTACAAACCACACCACTCGTGTCATAAAAGTGTTATTTTTGTGAACTGTTTCTTCACAGTGGAACACTGCATTCTAAGCTTTACGCATATTTGTATGCTTTGGCTATTTTCTGCCATTTTTGTTCCTTTGCGTCGACTTGTGTTACGTGGACAAGCACTGAACAGGAAGTTACTCCCAAGACCCACATTGGTCTCTAGATTTGCAAAGATTTTACACTTTGTAACTCATTTTACAACTCCTCTAACGCATTATAACACACTATAACCAATAATCCCTATTTATCAGTGCGTAAAAGTGTCTGTGGCTACTTCCTGTTTTCTTGTGTTGACTTGAAAATGCTTATAAAGGGTGTAGTTACCAGGGTGTGTTCAAATACCGCTTCAGTGCACTCGCACGGTTTGTGAAAGCGCTTTGAGCGAACCACCTGTAGGAATATGGCCTACCTGAAATAAACAATATGTGCGTAAACTTATGGGGGGGATAGGTTATATAAGCGTTTTCTCATTCCCTCCAAAAGTTTTTTTTTTTTTTTTTTTTTTTTTTTGGCATCCTTCACCTCCTTATCATTCACGCCCAGATCAGCGAGGACACGTATCAACAAGCACACACAGGAACCAGGGGACTGACACATATAGCTATCATGACCCTGCTACATAGTTTTAGAAAACCAGCTGTGGCGCATCACGGTTCAGTAAGTTCACATCCCTCTAGCCACACTGTCCTTGCCCCTCCTAAAAAGTGTGCATTTCTCTTAAAGCCCCGCCATGTTTTTAACCAAAAGCATGTATCTCCAAACATCTATCTCCGTGGATAAGTATGGTTTTGCTTTCTGTTTCCATGGATGCCACCTTGAGAAAGTTACACAGTGTTGCTTTAACCATAGAAATGTTTGTGAATATTACATATGCTGCTCAGCATGCCAATGACCTCACCGACTCCATTTTATGTAGGCTTTAATGATTTGCCAAAATAGTTCAATTGTTTCATTCTGTCTTTCGTTTTCTACAGTGGCATGTCTGAAATTCAGTGTGTGGGAGGACAGTAAAAAGGACAAAATCCAAAGAGCCTGGTCTCAGAGTACAATTACAAGAAGTTCAAAATAATTAATTCCAAATGGTTAATCCTAGAGCAGATCCTTTATTTTGAACAACCATATGATTAATATGTATGATTCAGTTTTATTTTGGTCTTAAAACAAATTAAATGGAGTCCAATATTAATGTCCTCCTTTTAAAATTTGCATAAGAAAAACTGTCAAGCTGCTTCCTCCAAAAGTATAATATCTGCTCCAAGGCACATACTTTTATGTGGCTGTAGTTCTTTCAGTAAAAAATGACCCAAGCATAATCAGTCTCGATTAAAGTTCAATTATTTGCACAGCCCTATAAAAAGCTACTTATAACTCATAACTATATAGGTCAAACAGGTTGTAGCAAAGAAAAATACATCAGGCATGGGGGCATGAGGGCATCTGCTGTAAAACCTTTGCTCCACTAAACTATGGCAAAGATGAGTTGCTATGGCGACCTATTGCAATCTCTACAAAGTTGTGTCATCCGTGTAGTATGCAGCATAGTTTATGACTGCGTTACCCAAGTGTTTCTAACATTGGGTAACAGTGCTCATATAAATGTTTTATGATTCATGACTTAAATGGGAAAAGTTAGAGCCTTCTACCCCCTTTGTGCAGTTTCCTGTTTATTCTGATGGCCTTGTGCAAATAATGAAAATTCACTCAAGCGTGCAAGGTCCATAGTGTGGTTTACTATTAATAACAAGACATATTGGTCAGGTCACCATGGATGGGACTCACAAAACTGTCAAATGTTAAGAATATTTAGCTCTAACACAGGGTTTGCAATATTATGGGCTATCAGCTCATTTAGAGATGTACTGATAAAAGTATTATTATTAATATTGATAAGTAGCAAGTTACAGAGATTTTTGACAATACAGTGAACATTTGACTTTTCTAATGATGACATTCACCTATTTGATAGAGATACACATTGTTACATTATAATTTAGGAAGCCACCTGACATGTCCAGGAATGCCCAAACAACTCCACAGGAATCCTCCAGTAAACCGCCCCTCTCCCAAACACTACACGTACACAAAGACCTCCAAACACAAAGCTCTGGTCTGGATTTATGGCTGACCTTTGACCCCTGCCCTTGTTGTGTCCCAGGCTGAGAGTGAGGTGGCGTCCCTGAACCGCAGGATCCAGCTGGTGGAGGAGGAGCTGGATCGCACCCAGGAGAGACTGGCCTCAGCAATGCAGAAACTGGAGGAGACCGAGAAGGCAGCCGATGAGAGCGAGAGGTGAGAGCGGTGGAGGAGAGAAGGGGGGAGAGAGAATGTGGGGCAGAGGAGAGAGAGAGGTGAGGGGTGGATGAGAGAGGGATGGAGAAGGGAGCAAGAGAGAGAGTGAGTGTGGGGAAGGGAGAGAAATGGGGGAATGGAAAGATAATGTGGAGTAGAAGACATAGGGGAGGTGTGGAGAATGGGGAGAGAAGGGAGTAGAGCAAAAGAGAAAGAAAGGGGAGGGGATTATATGATGGGGATGCAGGAAAAAGAGAGGGGAAAAGAGAGAGATGAGAGAAGGAGGATAGGAGACATGGTGAGAGATTGGACAGAGAAATGAGAGGGAGACAGAGTGGATAAAGAGAGAGCTAGAGCTGGGAGAGGAGAGAAGTGAAAGACAGAGAAAGAGGAGAAACAGGGATTATATGAAAGGAGGATACAGGAGAGAGACAGAAAAAAGAAAAGGCTGAGGAAGGAGATGGGAATATAGGAGAGAAAGAAGGTTTTGTGTGTGCCCCCAATCTCAAATTAAAATATGGCCCTCTAAAATCTTGTGCTATCAGTTTCGTAACGTGAAAGAAACAATGCAATACCTGCTGTTTTTCCTCTAGAGCCCTCTGTAAAGTTTACCTAATCATTTTAACATTAACTTAACCAATAATTACTGGCTGAAAGGAAAGCTGAGCCTGCATGAATGAATTTTCACACAAAATGGAAATATACACACACTCTTACACTTTTCCACATGTTCTACACATTTCATTTGGAATTACAGCAGTCAGCTGAAAGTCAGACCAACTTTAAATTTATAGTAATGATTAGTAGGTGTGGTTGAGGAGGAAGTGGCACAGCTAATGCATTGGGGCAAAAGGGTTTTACTTCTCTCTATAGACATTCAATAACACAGGATCCTGACATGTTACAGTGAAAGTAATGACCACATTTAACCACAAGTCATCTCCGCTCACTTAGTCCTTTCTGGCATTCGGATATAGCTGTCTGGGATAGTCAGTTTTTAGCCATGATTCTTTGAAATAATGTGTCTGACTGGACAAAAAGAGGTGACCCTGTCAGTAGCTTCTGTTAGTTGATACACAAGATGCTTTGTAAAATGCATAGCGTAAAGATTTATTATTATTTAGCAGCTCTAACCATCCAATACACGATGTAAAAAGCATTTATCTTGACTAAAATCAGGCACAGGCCCTTTAAAGACAACTGTGTGAAATCATGACATAGGCTCTGAGAAAATTGTGATATAAACATTTTGCCCACATTATTGTCAACCATTACTGACTGATGTGTGATGATGTGTTTTAGAGCAATGAAGGTGATTGAGAACAGAGCCGTGAAGGACGAGGAGAAGATGGAGGTCCTGGAAATGCAGCTGAAAGAGGCCAAACACATTGCAGAGGAGGCCGACCGCAAATACGAGGAGGTACAGACCAAAAACACGTGAATATGATTTGACTATTCATGTTTGGTGGGATAATGACTATGCTAAATATTTATCAGTGTGTAGAAAATAAGTTTAGGAGAAGTACAAAAATGCAGAAGGAGAAGTGAGTTTTGAAATGGAGCATCATCAATCTGTCATCAACACAGAAAATTACATCCTAACATGCAAGGGCAATTTATGCATAAGCAAGGCATTGTCCTGTCGGTTTAAACAAGATTTTAACAAAATAAAGGTGTTGTTTATTTTTATGAGTCGAATCATAATTATTGTGTAATTTAGACGTGAGTTGGCTCTTGTTAATGTTATGGCTGCTAACAGGTAATATCTGCTACCAACTAGGAAGTAAAACTTCCAACTACCAAAAAGAAAAGATTTTTGTACAATCCTAATTGGGTTAACAATGTTTTTGTGAAATTTGTAAAAAAAAAAAAAAAAAAAATGTATCTAATGTAATGCGTGTGTGATTTCAGGTTGCCCGTAAACTTGTCATCTTGGAAAGAGATCTGGAGAGAGCAGAGGAGAGGGCGGAAATTGCAGAGCTGTAAGAACAAATCCACTAACTCATAAAGAGGCAACAACATACTGATATCCCATAATCAAATCTAAAAATCTCAACCTCTTGGACCAGCTATATATTAAATTGTAATCTGTGGGAATAAATGCAATATTTTATGGCTGTCACATGTCACTTTAATTTTCTCTGTTTCAATAAAAGCTTACTCTTTTTGTCTTAAAAGGGTAATATGTAACTTTTCTAGTAGAGGGTCTATGCTTGTCTCCATGGAAATGTCATTGCTTTGCCAGGAATGTTTTACAGTGGCATTAGTCTTAAATACTGTCTTCATGGAGACTGGTGATGCCACTAGTGCAAGTACAGGTCAGATCTGTGGAGAGGCGACCCCACTCACAGTAAGAATGCATGTTTTTCCAAAGCATTAACATCTCCATGGAGACAAGCAGGCAGCGGGCCTTCACTAGAAAAGCTACATACTGCATCTTTAAACCTTTGACCTTTTTGAAGATTAAATCTGTCATATACTGTGATCCTCCCTATATTCTGAATTATACTGTGCAGCCAATTTTAATATTACTGATAATATCTTAAAATGTTTGGGTTGTGTTACACTCTATAGATTTATTTTTTTTGTCCAAACCAAAATAAGAGGTTAAATTACAAGTTTTAACAAGTACTTTTTCTTTTCTTGCAGTAAATGTACCGATCTGGAGGAGGAGTTGAAGAATGTCACAAACAACCTGAAGTCTCTAGAGGCTCAGTCTGAAAAGGCAAGTGTAGACATAAGTAATTCATGCAAACAAAACTATTCATGATTATATTCAAAAGAAATAATGATTTTGTTTCATTTTGTAAATCGCTGTGACAGCAGTTTTCTAATTTTTCATTATTCTGGATCCATGGCTAGAAGGAGGAGAACAACTTTATATTTATTTTGGAATAATGACCAGAAAACTATTGCTTTACTTAATAATAAATTGCTTGTTTATTATTTATTGATACAACAAAGTCCAAAGTCCTTCTTACCAGTCATAACAAGTACTGAGATTTTATATCATTGTTATTTCTTATTGTCAGTGATCAACTCCTCTGTCCCTAAAAAGCATGTGGTTTGGAGCTGAGATCAGACTTTCAAGGAATACGTTTGACAAATTTTTAGCAATGATTAAAAGTTTTGTTAATGTTTAGAAAATGTATTTATATATATATATATATATATATATATATATATATATATATATATATATATATATATATTTATACAGTACTCTGAGAAGGAAGACAAATATGAGGAGGACATTAAAGTTTTGAATGACCGGCTCAAGGAGGTGGGTTCAATCAATTTTCACTCAATACAGTTTAATTTCTTTCATTCTTACATACATATACATACAGTTGAAAGTGAGTGACTGCTTTGAGTGGTTCCTGATGCCACGGTTTTGTCAGTTTGTTACAAGTCACAGGTGACTCAAGTAATTTTCCTCTAGAATATGTAATGCAGTATAAAGCAACTCACAATGTCAAACCTGTATCAAAACTGTATCAGACCAATGGATCATATATTGATTCTATGACATTGTATTCTGTTTAACTGTGTAGCTAAGCCGGTGAGATAAATAACACTGATGATGCATGGCTTCTAATTGTTCTAAATTACTATAACATATTTTTATACTATAATTAAAACCACAGTCACAGTAGTAGTCATAATTGGTCGATGATGTCTTGAGTGCACATCAAAAATGAGTGCACCCTTAAGGCTGAATTATAGATCTGCGTCAGCTCAATGCACACTGCTGTCGTCGCTTTGTTGCCATCGTTTTTGATTTATGGATCTGCACCGAGGTCTATGCGCCACATAGTAATTCACTGCAACAACGTTAGGAGATTAGGATTGCGGTCATGTATTAAAAAGTGAAGTGGGTAAGCGGAGTACCAGAAATGTACGTAGAGCGGTTGTTGAGAGGAAAGATCACAGCCCTAATTTTCTGCATTGCTTTTCCTTGCTGGTTCGACATGTAGTTACAAATTTTGGAAGTGCACGTCGGTCAACGTAGACTCTCTGCATCGCGACACATACAATTTGATGCATGAAAATAGGACTGGGCGATATGGAGCAAAAAATACATCTCCATATATTTTGCTATATCTCGATATACAGTATATATCTCAATATCGGTACAGGAAAAATAACCCCCCAAAACTACTGCAAAAACAAATATGCCAAATTCCACAAGGTCTTTTTTATTGAAGTGCAAGAGGTAGGCAGTTCATATAGGAATAAAGTGCTTTTGCCACATTCAAGATGATAAAAATCCCTAATTGCATAAATAATAATTTAATTTGCAAAATAAAAGAAATTATACTTATTGCCTTCTTTTCATTCATACATAAAACAACTCATCTCAAGCTCATCTTTGCATTAACTCTGTTGTCCATACGATAACCATGAGCTCTTTTAGCAGAGGAAGCTCGGGAGGTTCCTTATTTTAACAGACACATGTTCCTCACCAGTATTAAGGAGCTATTGCACAATCCACTACAGATCAAACCCAATGTTTCCAAACATATTGTACAAGTTACACAACAGCAGATTATTAATTAAAATCTTCTACAAAAATAAACTTTACACTACTAAACTTTATAACATAAAGCATAACGACTATGAGCCACATCAGCCCATTTGAGATTAAAATGTGTTTAATGCAGTTTTGCGCACATGTGTTTACGTTTTACAGAAACGAAAGTTAAACCCACATGGCTCATTTGCATAAACGTGGTCCTTGTGCCGCTCATGCGGTTCAGCTTCTTTCGGACTAAAGGACACGACTCAGCAGAATATGAGTGTTCTCTCTCTGACAGAGGATGTGCTGCTGATGGTCTTGTCTGTAAATGGTACAAAAGGTTCGTGGTGCTAGAAGCTTTTCATTGGCACCAACTTTTGGCATTCACTACTGCCAACTTTTAGCATTCACTGCGGTAGTGACTGAGACACAAGCAGTAAAATCAGGGAGGCGGGGGCACAGAGAAGGCAAACAAGCGAAGCTGCTAAATCAGAATTGAATATATTATACCGATAATATAGAATCTGTATCGCGTTTAAAAAATGTCTCGATATATTTAAAATATCGAAATGTCGTCCACCCCTACACGACCATAAATTGGGCTTTAGTCAACCAAAATTTAATTGGGATGATTTATAAGCACAACAACAGAAAAAAATGCATTGAGTTAGCAGAACAATTTAATTACCTTTTTTTCACTCACAGGAATGCCGTTTACTAGTACTTGTCTGTAGGCTCTATATAGTATGATTCATTTTGGTTTTCTTTTTGCTTCTTTACTTTATTTTAGGCTGAGACTCGTGCAGAATTTGCAGAGAGGTCAGTGGGCAAACTGGAAAAGACCATCGATGACTTAGAAGGTATAAACTCCATTGCTTTAAACTTCCCTGTAGTCATCTTAACTTACTTCTCCTTTATATTTTGTCCTATCTCTAATATTATATCTTTTTATTTTCCCTTTCACTTTTTTCTCCTTGGTATCTTCTCGGACTTCTCTCCTCTCCCCTTTGAACTTTGACCTCCAGATGAGCTGTACAATCAGAAACTCAGATATAAAGCAATCAGCACGGAGCTCGATCACGCCCTAAATGACATGAACACCTTATAAAAAATAATATATAAATCATGTTTACGGCTTATAGCCCTTGACTGTTACCTCAAGTTTGCATGACCCAACGCACTTTTCCTCTTTGTTCATCTTTGATCCTTTGCCTTTGAGTTGAATAAAATCTATTTGTCTATTTTACTCTGTCTTTCTCCTCCCTTTTACCTGTTTCGAATATGGTATTGTGCAAAAGTCTTAAAGGTTATGTATGCATCAGCATTTAAAAACCTGCCAAAGCATGCCTTAAAATTAATAAATGAAAAGTTATAATCCGCTTACCTTTTCCTCTACATCTGGGGTAAACACAGTTTCCCTTTCCTTAATAGTAAGCATAAGCAGTCTGTCCGGGTGACACTTATCAATGGTTTGCTTCTGGCCTATTTAATCCTGATATAGATGTGGTTTGGTCCTGTTCTACTCCTGGTTTAGTCTTGGTCTTGTCCAGTTTGAATTCTGGGTGTTGTCCGAATATCAATATGGTGTGCGTCTGAAAGCAGCACACCTGAAAGCATTGATAGTAACAAAGGTTTCAAAGGTAGTCGTCTGAACGAGGGTTTCAAATGGGAAATCGCTCTCTAAAGAAACCTTAACAATTCTGTCTTTATCTTTTCTTAAACATACTAGACTGCATTGTTTAAACTCACATACCAATCCAAAACATGTAAAGTTAGATAAGGTAGTAGATAGGGAGTTAAGGTAGTCCTGGCAAAGCCTAGCTCAAGATTTTTAGTTGGGTCCCCAGATGCATAGAAGATTGGGTCAAATGCAGAGGACAATTTTCACCATAAAATACCATACAATAAAGGGCAGTGTACTTTAACCTTAACATATCCATGTACTCCTTTGAATAAGTTTAAACACACTTTAACAATGATCTAGGCCAACACTGAAATTTTTATGATTGATTATTGACTCAAATTTTGCACAGTACTGCTGTGTAATGAAAGTTGAAAATTCTAAAACAATTCTCTTTCAATGTGTTATGCTCAGCTTGTTCAAAGTCTGAATACTGTGTCCATACATACAATTATCATTTCAATGGAGCTCAGTAGTGATCGCCCAACCCTGGTTCCTGGTTCCAAGATAATTTGCTTGCTCAGAGCTAATTGGCTATGTGGAAAAATATATGGGAAAATGTACTTCTGGAACCAGAGTGGACTTCGAAGTCAACAGAACTGAGCTCCATTGTAAAGACATTCTACATCAATATGTCTTTTGGAAATGTAATCACAGTTTAATCATAAACTGTAAGGTTGTTTGCTAATCAGATTTTTTTTAAATCATAGAAAACAAAAAAATATAATAATGATAATAGACTTAGACTTAGACAAAACTATTGATCCACATGGGAAATTATTTGGACACAGTAGACTCACTCATCACAATATAATATAATAACAAACAGAAAAAATATAAATGGTAATAATAAATTCTAAATTAGTGGCAAAACAGACAGCAAGAAACAGGCATCATAAAAGATATAATTGTATAAATGTATATGTACAAGTCAAAATAAAATAGAAAGATAAGTAATAAGGTGATAGGGTTATCCGTTACATAAGGCTGAGTTGTTGTACTGTTGTAGGGAGTATTATCTGTTACATAAGGCTGAATTGTTGTACAGTTGTAGGGAGTATAGTATGAATGTAGTCCTGTATCTCTCACTGTTTGAGCAGAGTTGTAGGAGCCTGGTAGATAAACTAATTATAGACTATCATCCCATTATTATCTTTGTATTGTTGTTAAGGTAGGATTTGTTTACATTGGCCTGTTAGTTGCGAGTTCACAACAAAATGACCAGATATAATTTATTTCCCATGGTCAAACCAGTTGAAAACCATGTCTACACTCTTTGTTCAATAAATGTTGTTCATATATTACATTTTTCTATAATTTGTAACCACCTTTTTGCAGAGAGATTACAGCGAGCCAAAGCGGAAAACCTAGACATACACCAGCGCCTGGATCAAACGCTGCAGGAACTGAGCTCTTTGTAAAACCAGAAAAAAGTTGCACAAGAAAAATTTTTTTTTTTTTTTTTTATATCAAACATCTCTCTTTTTTTTTTTTTTTTTGCATTTTACTGGAAAACTATCTCTGCTACTTAAGAACAAACTTCTAACATTCCTTTTTATATTTATGTTTTTTAAATAATGTCCCTTTGTATTCAATGGTTTTGGGTCCAAATCTTCAGTTTTGGTGCTAAGAGTTGAGTAGCACAGATACAATTGATGGCCATAGTGATAATTCGTTGTTGTATAAGCTGTTTTTGTGTCTATGTGACCTGCCTACGGTTTTGTACGAGGCAAATTGTGTAAGTTCATTCTTCACTTACTTGTGCTGACATGCTCTGTGCTTGCTTTGCGCTTAATATTTGGACCAACTTTTAAACATCTCCAATGCTGTTAAGTCCCTGTTTTATACTACAGTCCAGTTGACAGCAGCAAACAATAAAGAATACTGTTTGTTTCAACTTGTGTTGTGTAATTTTTATTTTCAAATATAGTCTTAAAAGTGCTGGATACCTGACAAACTGGAAGACTGAGCTCTCAATGAGTAACCTATGTAGAGTGTACCTGTAGTTCAGCAAATTCTTCAGTTCGTAACTATGAATGATGGGGTATGCACACCACCTGCAGAACTAACAATTATCTCATCAACAGCTTACGACACAAGTTTCACAACTTTTAAGAGTGTCTGTTTCCAATAACATTCCTTCCAAAAGTAGCTTTGGTTCATTAAAGAGGCTAATACAGATACTTAGTAAACTTAAAGTCTCAAGTGCTCAGTCAATCCACATTGTTTTATAACAACATACTATTACAATAGTACATTCTGTTAAAAACATTAAATCATTACATCAAATGAGCCTTACTCATGTTAAACTAATTCATAATCTAATTAGGTCAACATGCCACAAAAATCAAAGATATACATGGTATATCAGCCATGGTATGTTCAGTTTTAGGATAAGATTTTTTTTTTAAATAGTAGTAGTAGATTAAAGATGCAGTAGCCTATATGTAACCATGGAAAATCAAGCAACACGTATTTATGTAATGCACAACTCATTTATGCTTTTAACCTATGCTTCATTTGTAAATTCATTTTTACAGGAACACTTGAGGAACAGGGATCAGGCCAAAACAATTACAGGAACACACAAAAAGCAACACAAACATGCCTGCTATTTAATAATTATTTAATCATGCCTAAACCGTTTCATATAAAACAGCAGATCTCCATTTTAGGCCTGTAACAGTAGTTGTCAAGATACTGTCCTAAATGTTCATGAAATTGTACACAGACTTGTCAAAAAGTACCATATTTTTGAAAATCTAGCAAGTAGTGGCTGTTATAGACTTAAACAAACTTTTGAAATCACATATGCAATGTACACTGTAATTACACATTTATAAATAATAGAAAGTATTATAGACCTTTACATGAGTAATTTATACATTAAATCTTCCTTCTGAATGCTTAGATTATACAAAAAAATCTTAGAGCAATACAATGTAAAAAAATAGCACCATCTAGTGGTAGCAAGAATAGTTGCTACTATTTACATTTAGATTTACTGATCGTTTCTATTAGTGACTGGATTCTAAAATTCAGTATACAAAAATCTGCATTTTAACAATATTGACTTTTTGCTGTCTCTCATCTGTATTAAAAATGATGATGAAATTATAGCCTGATATTTAATAATTATTTAATCATAAACCTGCCTATTTGCCTATTTCATATTTAAACAGCAGATCTCCCTTTTAGAATTGTACACACTTGTCAAAATGTTCTGGGAATCAGCAAGTAGTGGCTGTTATAGGCTTTGTTGAAACCAGTATGCAATCATCAGAAAACGTTTTTTTAGTCTTCATTTCTTTAGGCAACCCAAACTACATAGCAACATTTGGAAATTACAAAAATCAAACTTCACCCATTTTATATCAGTTCATACAACTGCTGTCCTAGGGCATTCTACAGACTGTTAAAGGAGTTAGGGTTAGGTTTTTACTTCTTTTATTTGAGTGGATATGGCTGAAACAGTTCTGCCCATCTGAGGACAGCGCTCAGCCTGTCACATGTCATAATGTAAGGAATCATTAACAACATGTTGCTAGTTGATTGGAAGTTTTCTCAAGAGTAAGAAGAATAAGACAATAGAGAGGAGTTGGTTACAAGTCAGATCTAGTAGAGAAGCGACCCTGCTTAAAGTAATGTTTTTAAGGTATTTTTGAGCATCACCTGACATTAAATCCATGCACTAGATACATGTAATGTCTATGATGGGAAATTCTAGGGTGACCAGACATTCCTGTTTACCCAGGACAGTCACAGTGTGGAGCCTTGTGTCCCCTCTCCCAGCAGATTTATCCAAAACCATTGATTTGTCCCAGTTTTATTCAAGAAATGTTTAAGGGGTCCCTGTTTTTTGACAGATTTGATCCCTGCCAACAGTAAAGACAGACATAAGTTGGCATTTCTTTAGGTAAAATACAGAAAACCTCTATAAAAATCAAAATGTGACTATACTGAGTCACATGTTAGTTATGAATGGACAATTTTCCTTAATTACACACCATTTTATTATTACCAACCATCACAAACCGGAGGTGTGCCAGCTTTTGATATTGAACATATGGTCGCCCTAGGCAAATCTTTAAATAACTTGCCTGGAACCCATGAACATTTTTGAGTTTGAAATCCCTGCAGTGACATTCCAGTCCTGCAGAGGGCGCCACACGCGAGTTTGTCTTCTTCAGTTAAACATTCGCCGGGCGGGATTTCCGCATTAATATCCAGTATGGCGAAAACGTACGATTATTTGTTCAAATTACTCTTAATCGGCGACTCTGGGGTCGGAAAAACCTGCGTCCTGTTCAGGTTTTCAGAGGACGCATTCAACTCCACGTTCATTTCCACGATAGGTGAGGGTTTTTTTAGGCGGAAAGGGTGTCCGGGTTTGACTGTTTACAAATGATGCTGAAACAGGATCCGTCTATTTGCTGCGTGGCTAACATCCGCTATTACAAACCCAGTGTTTTTAAACGTAATCTCGGTTTAATAACATGCTCAGACATACCTATACGTCTACGTGATGGTGTTATAGGTGGTAATGTAGTAATATAATATAATTTGTTTCAATGCACTTCCGGTGAACTGTATCTTCTCTGACAGCTAGCATTAGCAGTTAGCCACAGGATTCGTTCTACATCTTAGTATAAAACTGAAAGTGTGATTCTGAGCTAAGCAGCTTATTTTACTAATACAGCAGCGGTGCAAGTGTTTTGTCCACGCTTTCATTGTTTCCGTGGCGCATTAATCTGATCTGGTTTACGGTTCGTTCTGCGGAAACAGCGGATGTACAACAATGAGACGAGGCTAATGCTAAAGCTCAAAGCACTGACTTGCGTGTACTTGTCTCCTCCACAGGCATCGATTTCAAGATTAGGACGATAGAACTGGACGGGAAGAAGATAAAATTACAAATATGGTAAACCAGCATTCAAATGACTTTAGTGAAATAATCTTACTTTTATATAGACGAATGACTTTGTTTGAAATAGCTTAAAATTATGTTAAACCCAAGAAACAATTATTCCTAAATTGGTTTTATTATTGTAGTGTTAGCTGTATACTTGATGTGATGTATGGTCTATGAATTTTAAATGATGTTATGCTGTTGTTTTGTAGGGACACAGCAGGACAGGAGCGCTTCCGAACTATTACAACTGCCTATTACAGAGGGGCAATGGTGAGTGAATACTACACTATGTTTGTGCTTCACCGCCTGCCTTGATGATTCTATTAAATGACGTTGTGGTTTTAGGGCATTATGCTCGTCTACGACATCACCAACGAGAAGTCTTTTGAAAATATCAAGAACTGGATCAGGAACATAGAGGAGGTGTGACGAATTTATAAAAAGCTCACTGGCAGAATGAGATCTGTGTTTTACCTTGTTTTCTTTCGCAGCATGCGTCGTCTGATGTTGAGAAGATGGTTCTTGGAAACAAATGTGACATCAATGACAAGCGGCAGGTTTCCAAAGACAGGGGAGAGAAGGTAAATACCACCTGATAAGAGGTTTTACTAACTTTCATTTAATAGAAATCTCTTATAATAACTGAACGATTCACAATGTTTCTTTTAGCTTGCATTAGAATATGGGATCAAATTCATGGAGACCAGTGCGAAGGCAAACATTAATGTGGAAAATGTGAGTAAACCTCTGTTTAAATAGACAATATTATACTTTCATGTAAAATATAAGACCTATGTTTATTTCTGTTTTCCTTAGGCTTTTCTGACACTCGCCAGAGACATCAAAACAAAAATGGACTCAAAATTGGTAAAGACTTTTTATTATAACCCAAATCAGCTTTATATTCATTCATGCGCTTGTTTCTGTATATGCCTATTCTAGTTCTGTATGTCATGACCCATATACTTGTTGTGTATTTCAGGAGGGTAACGCTCCCCAGGGCAGCAGTCATGGAGTGAAGATCTCGGAGCCACAGAAAAAGACCAGTTTCTTCCGCTGCACCCTCCTCTGAGTCTGTGTCTCTGTGGAGGCTCTGTGTCTCTGCGGAGGCTCTGTGTCTCTGCGGGGGCCCTGTCTGTGCAGAGCAGGACTTTAACTGTAACAGACTGTGCTCGCTTCAGCACTTCTTCCTGTCCTCCGTCCACGGTCTGTCCCCTCGTCCTAAACACAGGACACTTTCTGTTTCTTCCACTTTTTAAGCTTCCAGCAACAGTTCTCTTCCAACAGGATTCACAGGGGCAAACTGCTTAACTATGGACCTTTAGAAATGACATTGTCCTAATAGTTGACAGCATTGAAACCAGGCAATTCTTTGTTTTCTTATTGCACAGGCACAGCACAAGTGTTGACTCATTTAGAGTGAGGGAAAGTGCAAATAGCAGTTGTGGGATCTCAATATAAATGTAATATCTATTTTTATTAGTGCTCTTTCCCTTAGTATGTGATATAAGTCAGGCAGAGACGGATGGCTTAAAGTACAGTTAAGAAGAATGGATTATCATAATTGAAAATGATTTGCTGAAGCAGTTTCAGTTATTTGCAATAAGATGTAGTTCAGGCGTTTCTCTCCTTAAAGACATTGACTGAAAAATTGAGATGCTCTGATTGTGTGTAGCTAAATGAAGTCTCTGCTCTTCTGACAAACATTCAAATCACTGTAGGCCTCTGCTCCAGGCTCCTCGCAGCTGTGCACTTTACCTGTGTTTGTGTAGTCTGTGCCAAGTGTAGTGCAAAGATGAGCGTCTTAGCTGAGGAGGAAGACCGCTTATACTTGGGAGTATTTCAGGCAATTTTATTGCACATATTTAAAAACTTGATAGTCTTTGCTGTGCTATTTATCCACTGTCCTGGTATTCATTTGCATAATACCCCACTCAGACAAATTGTGGTGATTAGATTAGAAAGAAGAAGGCTGCAGTTGGTCACAACACATAATGAACATTTGTGACCAATAACAGGTGGTCATATTGTTATGCCTAATCTGTGTATACTGTATCACTCATGAACATGGCAACATGATATTAGAATTTTTCATTTTTTATGCTACTGTCCTGCCAAAGTATAATTTGTATTTTATTGATCAAACCCAAGTCTTAAGAACAATTTTATTAGTATTGGCATAGATTTGTGCGGCTTTAGGTGGCACAATAGAGGAGCTCTAACTTGTGATCACCCAAACAAACAAGTCAGTATTCCACCTGTCTCTTGACCCTAAATTATTTGCTCTATAAATGTCTTAATCCTTTTCTTTTCTCTAAATATTAAGCTCTTAAATGCACAAAAGTCAATGGGAAATTTCGCTCTTGTTTGTTTTATGTGACCTCATCGCTATATAACCATTTGTCTTAACACATCAGTTCAGTCTTTGGCGAGCTATGCATCGTGATTCATGGACCTGTGCATATTTCTGTCTTTCAGTCAGTTATTTCAACCTGTACAGTTTAATGTATGGGATTTTTGTTGTTTTAATTCTGAAGCAAAAGCAGGACTGCATTGTAACACCAGTGCAGATTAAAACTCGCTTAAATCATAAAGTAGGAATATTTAAGTGGTGTTGAAAGAGTTGATTTCCAATGCTGTAGCAACAAGCCTTCAGAAATATGGGAGCAAGTCTGAACTATCCTGTGTTACGAAGTTAAGGTCATTTTGGCATTACAAAACTGGTTGACTTTATTTTTAGAAACCTATGCTGATTTGGTAACCTATGCTGATTGTTCATAATCTTATCACTAGATTCAAGATTTTTACTGTCACACTCTCTAAATTCACGCACATAATTGGTGTTTAAAAAAAGATGAATAAAAAGATTTAAAAAAAAAACAAAAAAAAAACGACTTGTTCAATATTTGCAGTCGTCGCTCATTATTTAGGACCTGTTTTTGGTGTGTATCAAATTTGTGTTGAAATCTCTGGAAAGTGGGACGTTTATCTGGTTGTCAGCTTTGTAATGCCACTGATCAGGACTAGAGATACTTGCAGTACTATACATTTATTTAAGTAGCTTCTGTAGCACAGGCCTGGGGATTTTTTTTTTTTTTTTATAATTTACGATCATACAACTTTTTTTTCCTTTTTTTGTGTAAAATTTATTTTTTGCAACTCATCAACATGGCTCTTGTTCTCAATCTTAAGTCATAACTTGCCGTCATCTGTTGTCAAGTACACGGGGAGCAACATTGTAAATACCACTTTGACAATAAGAGATCTACCTAAACTGTACTGTACTTTGTAAACCCATATCGAAATGTATCTACTCTTTGTAGATATATGAACTTTTGATTTAATAAAATAAGACTATTTTAAAATGCACTGTTTTTTTTTTCATTTGGGCAGCGAGATTAATCACTTTAAATTAAATTAAACTTGGCTGTCACAAGGGAGTCAAGCAGTTTACAGCAGTACGCCACATTACAATCCAGATCTGTGGAGAGTCGCTGCTATTCACAGATGTTTCTGCAGAAGAAGCACACGTTCCATGACAGAAATAAGCCTGAGTCTGGCCAAAGCAAATTCAACCCTCAAGTTTAACCTGCACTTTATGCTCACGGTGACTCTGAGAAGACTAGAGCAACGGAGCACCCACATCACGGAAAATGGGCTCAAAGTGTGACTTTTTTTTTTTTTTTTTATGATCTGACTAAACGAGAGAGGAGCCGCAGCCGCACTCACAGAGTTTGATTTGGGCCATTGTCACGCCACTCTCTGGGTCCTTATATTTTCCTGCTTTTTTGTCCTTGGCCAATCACATCCCTGCAGAAGAAATTTTTGAGCAATAGAAACACGTAATGAGTAAATGCTAGATGGAAATGTTTAATAACATGGTCCAGGCAAAGCAATGACATCACCATAGAGACAAGTAGGTAGTGGATTTTCCATGCTAAAAGTTGCACAGTGCACCTTTAAAATCAAAAGCTGAATGGTGAGTATTTAGGTGATAATATTATATCTGCATAGAACAAATTGGCTCCTGTAAAACCTGCTATCCTTGTTTGAATCGTCTTTGAACATGTTGTCAGATCCATGTGATTCTTGTTTATCAGGTCATATTTCAGTCTTCTCTCAAAAGTGAATCCTTCTGGGCATGTTTAAAATGTACAATGGAAGCAGTCTTTATTTGAAAATCTATATCACAGATCAGAATTACCAACACTGGTCAGAAAACTGTATATATCCTTATCTTTTCTATGCTTTACCTTTAGTTATTTTAGTATGGCAGTCACTTGACCTTAAGCTTTCACTATAACCTTGTGCTGTGTAACATATCCCTGCAGAAGCTTCCAGGCTGCTTCTTTTATCGTCGATGTAACTGGAGCCTTTTATATGTGAATACAAATGTTCTGTTGATGTTCATAACTAATGAGGCCTGACGCGGAGCTGGGCGCCCATTCCACCAGATGATGGATGTACAGTTGTTATATAGTACGTTCAAGAAAATTATATTTTAGCACTGTAGTCAACTTGAGAAATTCTTGGTTGCATTCATTTGTCCCTTTCAACCAGTGTGCTAGGGAACAACTGAATGGATTTAATTGAAAAAGCAACCATTTTAAAGTGTTCTGAGTGAACTTCTGGTCCAAAATAGGAGGTAAAATAAAAAATAACTGTTAACAAATTTAAGAACCCAGACAGTGACAAGAAAATAATTTGCTACACTGCCTACATATTTAGTAAGATTTTAGTTTAGTTTCTTAATAGATGGTGAACTGCAAAATATTTTTTACCAAAAAAGTGTGCCATGACATGAAATAGTTGAAAAAAAAAAACATTAATTGATTAAAATAGGTCTTAAAACTATAGAATGTCAAGAAAATTTATGGAAAAAGCTAAAAAAAAAAAAAATTGCAAAATGGTTAAATCAAGCCATCTTTCTTTCTGCTGCAGTCCATATACATCCTTATTAATACTGATAAAATATTTACTAACAAAACAGAAATCTTGGCTGACTGAGTAAGAAACTCCAAGTCTACAGCTCTAATCCGATTCCTGTTGTCTAAATGCAATGCAAATGCTTTAACATAAGTTTATGAACGCGAGTGCCAAAAAACAGCAAGCCCATATTTTACACTATATTTTAATGCAGAAATATTTTTGACAATTGGCTCAAAAATCAATTTAGTATAATTCCTACACTCTACAAATTTTGGTTGTCCTGGAAGATTTGTGATTAAGTGTGTAACATTTGGGATCCTTCATATCCTGATGTGGAACGTGCTGTGGACAAAGAACGACAAAAAGAAGAAACACAATATTACTAAAAAATGATTGAAAAATCATGAAATTGTTTGATTATAGAAACTTCCACAGAATGGCATTAAACTTCTATCTCCTGTGGCCAGACACGGCTGCATACTCACAGTAAGAACATGTACTTGAATCATTCCGAGATCGATATGTTTAATGCCATTTTGTGAGACATGCCATGAAAAGCAACAACATCAAGCGGGTGACAGACTCCTGAAAAGTTACACAGTGCTCCTTTAAAGGACCTATATTACACACAATGGATTCTTGTACGTTTTAAGATGTTACAATGTTGTTACCTCATCATGAACGTACCTAGACTTGTGTTTTGTTACATTCACACATGTTTGAGTAATCCTTTATTATTAATGTCTACATCTCCCAAGCTCAAAATGCTCTATTCCACCATGTGATATTATCAAGTGGTAGTTTTTGTGTTTTAGTGTTTTCCATTTTGAGAGGGAGCCTAAATATGCAGAATTTGTGTGTTAAACATGTGTGAAACAAAACAAAACTCCAGGTATGTTTTTGATGGGGAAACAACATTATAAAATAAATCAGAAAGAAGCATTATATTGGCACTTTAAATAAAAATGAGTGCAAATTTTACTTTCAAAACCAGAAGTCAAGTCCTAATTTGGTAAGTGTTAGATGCCCCCACCTTGCCACCCCATACTGAATAGTGTGTTATTGTTTTCACCTGAGGAACTCTGGCGCTCGGAGGATCATGTGCTGGAAGTCGTCCAGAGAGAGCCTCCCATCATTGTCCAGGTCGGCTTCATCCAGGACCTTCTCACAGACCATCCTCACCTCCTCCTCTGTCAGCTCATTACGTGTCAGCTTATTCAAGGTCTTCTCCAGGTCAGACTTACAGATGAAATCATCATTGTTGAAATCTGACATACAAATAGAAATACAATAACCTATGACCAGCTTTATGTGATTTTTTTCATCATTTAAATAAAGAACACATGGGATCTGTGGGTATCCCAGCTTCTAATAAAAGTAAAATGAATGCATTCTCTTCTGTTCTAAAAGCCCCATATTGTGTACATCTGCTAGAAGGTCCATGAAGCAGCACAATGTGATTAATGTTCAGTCTAGTAAATGTATCATCTTTATCAAATCAATTTGCATTTCACTAGAGAAAATTATGCTTTAAAGTTACAGTATGCAACTTTCTGGAGGTAGAAAGTCAACTGCCTAATTCTATGGAAAGTTAAATCCATACAACAGAAAATTTTTCATAGAAATAGATATGTTTTATGCTGTTGTATAGAATATTATCTCAAGCCCTCTCAGAGTTATAAAAACATTATTTTTAGAGTTATAAAAACATAATATTCTGTGGCTGTGGTGATTATTAGCCAGGCTGGTGCTACCTAATGCCTCTGCTCAATTTCATAGCGACTAGGTCAGGAATTGGAATACACTAACTAGATGGTTTGCAAGAGCCCCGGAGGTTGTAAACCACGCACCAGCCAATCAACGAAGAGCTGTAAAGCCATGACATCAAACTCAAGCACCTGTCTGGATCCCTTTTGTGGTACAACACAACATTAAACAAAGCGGTCGAGATGGATGTAGACAAAGCCTGTCATTCATCATTCTGTGTTGACAACGATTCCCGAGATCAAGGATTTAAAGCCAGAACAAAGAGATTATTTGGTGAATTTTATCAAGGGGAAAGATGTTATTGCCCTTCTTCGTATGGGATTTGGTGCATTACATACGTCACAACCAAATATCAAGGATTGGTTAAATAAAACGGTACACGCCTACAAATATCATAATGCTGCGAGGTCCGACGCATTCCACGAAGTGAAACCAGCTGATGACTCATGCTGGGTGGTTAGTACAGCGTTAGGCTTTTGCAGACACAGCATTAACAAAACAGACAGGTGGTTTACCCTCCACAATATATAGTCACATAGTTTTTGTCTGTATTCCTTTTGTAGCACAGTCCTCTAAACTTCAACTAAACCTGGTTCACTTGTCCACTTGACCTCTGCATTGACCCCTGTGATAATGGGTCTCATAGAAGTGTTTGACCTGTCAGCAGCTGTTAATTAGAGCCACAGTGGACCAAACAAACTGTCCCTTTTTATTGTGTTGGAGTGTATAAAGACCTGTTTAATCTTTAATGCCAAACCATGTATAGGCTGTCGTGGTTAAGACTCCACAGCCCTTATGTTACCATTACATAGGGGTCACTTCCACTGGTAAAGGTCACTCATCTATCCTTTGGTAAGAGAAGATACTTTATTGGCCTCATAAATGAGAAATGTACTTGTTATGGTGGGTTCATGCATAATAGTAATAATTAAAGAACTAAATGGCATATTCTTTTAATACAATGAAGTGAAAAACAGCAACAATATCTAAAATCGATACACAGTCATTTAGTTACTGAGTATCACATTTTTCTCATACTAAATTACTCTAAATAGATGCTTAAGTTGTACCGTATATTTTGAATGCGTAGTAGGCCTTAAGGTCACGTGGAGCCATCTCACTCAGCACAGAGAACATGTCTAAGAAGTCATTCAGGGTCATGTTTCCTTCACCGTCTTCAGAAAAAACCTCAGCGATCCTCTGACGGAACGGGTTGTCCTGGAAAACAATAACAAACTAATACACTTGTTGATAGTCAGACAATACACCTCTACAGGCCTATACTTTTGATGGAGCTGGGGGCAGGTAAAATTACTATTGTTAATGTGTATATTTTTTTGTTGAGATATAATAATCAACAACTCAGTTTTACTTCAGGAGGGCCAAGCAGCTAGGAATCATTTGCAGAGCATTGTGCACTCTGCTGAGAAGGTGATTGAATGCAGCTGCCCATTTCTCTAAGACCTGTACTTCTCCAGGACTCAGGGGTGAGCATGTGGATTGCAGCTGACCCTCCTCACCCTGGACACAGACTATCTGAGCTACTCCCCTTAGGCATCCATTTGGACCAGAACCTCTCACCACAAGTAGGAATCCACCCATACTGATAGGAAAATTTGCTAGATCGGGTATCAGTTCCATAATATTGGTTCAGTCGATATCCAGGTTGGGATTTTAATACGATTATTTACTGACTGATGTAAACCCAGTACATCTCAAAATGTTTGAACTTTAATTCATTCAAAGCTGTTATGTAGTTACTTGCAGGATAAGTTACATAACACAGTTGGATCAACACTTTCTTCCCCTGTGCTGCTGAACTCACTAACACTTTATAACACCTGTCATTCAAATACCACCTTTTTTCTCTTAGATTGCAAATTCTGCACCTTTTCACCAGAGCTCAAGCTTCTTTTGTGAATTTTGTTCACTGACATGAGCTGTAAAGAGTTTTCTGACTATAATCCAGTTTCTTCTTGTATAAGAATGCCTCATGTTTTGTGCATTTATTTCATTTTTCATGGTCTCACAGAGATGGCTAGCACTTCGATTGCAGTTTTGACTTTTTGTATACTAGTGTTTGGCAAGGCAAGAGTGTCTATAAACAATGAGAAACATGTGAGAATTCAACCCATCCTAACTTTACATGCCCAGCGCACCTGCTTCCATCACTCTCACTGCTTAAAGAGCCATATAATGAAGGCATTTCCAGACAGCATGCCCCCGGGACCCTCCACCGTTCTTTAGATGTGAGAGCCTCAGGTAACATATACAGTATACGGCCTTTGAATGAATCCTGTCGATTAGTGAGGGCTGAATAATGCATGAGGGAGACACAGGGGAGCGGGACCGTGGGCCTACCTTCAGCTCGGGCATGCTGCCAATCAGTTCGTATGGTAGCTTCACATCTGGGTTATTGGTGTAGTCGAGAGGAACGAGCTGCGGAGCCAGGTCACGGTACCGATAAAACAGTCTGCAAATGAGAAGAAGGTCAGAGTATGTGTGTTAGGGTAGAGTTACTTTTGCAACAATATTTGTGATGGAGGGTCTGCCAGACAAGCAGGTGATGCCACTAGGCCAAGCTACAGGTCAAACCTGTGGAGTGGCAACCTCACACTGGTCTATCTTACAGATTTACATGCCCTTTTTTTGTATTTTTATAAATTGTTTAAAAAACATGCATTTCTACTGCAGTTAGTGATCTGTAAAGTGTCCTGCTGAAGTCACTTGCTTGTCTACATCGAGACAGACTCAGTTAATGCCATATGGACACAAGTGGGTGGTGGACTCTCCACCAGGAAATGTTATTGTACATATGGCACCTATAAGGATATAAATCACTATCAAATTATTAAATCACTATTAAAGCATTTAAAACTGTCACATCATATGGTAAATAAAGGTAATTCAGTGTTATTGAAGGATAATTGCAAAGCGGTTAGGTTTGCACTGTTGTATTGCAGTCGAAAAACTGTAAAAAGTGGATGTATAAAATGGTAAAATATACTGACCTCAGAATTTCTTTTCTTGTGAAGTAGGTGCAGTCCTAAAATAGACAAAATAGCACAGGTGACTGAGAATGTCATTGGGTTGGGGACAGTGGGGACACAACCAGCAACTCCTGTTTGAAAAATCATATTATTGTTGCCAATTGGCCAGTCATTCATAATAAAACAATGAAATAGACATTTTGTTAAATTGCTCAAAAATGCTCTTAATATTATAAACAAAAAAATTGCAATAATTTAGGCCATCTGTCTACATACATAAAACACAGCCACTGACCTGGTAAGCATCCAGCTGCTGTGCTGTGAAGATTGTCTGTTTGTTCCCCATTTCATTTCTCCTCTCAGCCCTGGCTCCATAACTTCAGAGCTGGGTTTTGGAGCTGAGAGGATATATAGTAGATATGAAATACATGGACAAAAGGCACCGCAGCCAAAGAGGAGATCAGGTGTCGTGTGGCGCTGGGCACTTTGCCGCTCATTATAAAGGATGTATTTCATCGTTTTCTCTTTTGTGAATAGCAGCCCCTCGCACAAAGAGGAGGGAGCCGTCCAGCAGCGCGCCAAGTGCCATCAACCCCCTTTAGTGCCACTCGAATATGGCCAACGCCTCGGGCACGCTCAGGTTACTCTGTGTGGAGGGGGCCTTTGTCCAGCCCAAATAGAGTTTTGATAGGAGGCAACTTTGTTTTAGACCAGCATAATTGCTTCACATAATTATTTCATTACCACCACAAGAAGAAAACTGGGTACACTATGTATGTTTACTACTGGAGGGGTGCGTCACATGTTTGTCTCTATGGAAATGTTATTGGTTTGCCTGGACTATTCAACAATTTGGTATTAAACTTATACCTGTATATTCAAGTACAGGTGTTTATTCAACATGCTTTAAAAAGACTCATTCTTGCCAAGAGTGGTTCACCTCTCGCCAATATGACTTGGCCGGTTGGCATCACCTGCTCATCTCCATCATTCCCATAAGTTACATTTGACATTGTGGGACATTCTAGGCAAAGCAATGACATCTCCACTGAAACAAGCAGAAAGGTTATATTTTACTTCTTGAAATATGTGCACTGAATTTCTGCTACAAGATAAAACTAAAATAATAAACAGTGTACTATGTAATATTATTTGATCTAAATTCTTTATTGAGGTAAAACAGACACACTGACTATGCACTGAATGAACTACTGTGTCCAGTTACTGTGTGTTGGTCTACTACTCCTCAAAGGAATGGACCAGTAAAAAATTACTAATAACTTTGGTCTAATTTCTTTATTCATTTGCATGCATAAGACTAGCCCATTTTACCACATAAATTAGAAATAAATCCAAAACATTATTTAACACATTAGTACCATTTATTCTAATTGTGAACATAAAATTTACATATTTACATCTATTACAGCCCTTCCATCACTGCCATATATTAGAATTTATGGATATATACATATAATACAACGTCCATATTTGGCCCATATAACCACTGGTGTTAATGGCATCCACAGCTTCCTGCCACCATATCATTGTACTGTTTTAGCACTACATTTTCATCGTCATCAAAGTAGAGCAGGTTGATAGAAAACAGCTTATCGGGCACACAGCAAGGCGTTTCTACTCCTTTGAGCAACTTGAGGGCATTGATAATGGACTGAACGGTGGCGTGGTTGGTGGGGCGCATGTTCTGGCCCAAGGGGAACGGGCAGGAGCCTTTGCAATGGTAGGCGTTGTATCCACGAGGAGAAATGATCCAGCCAGACCAACCGATCTCCTCAAAGTCGACGTAGAGAGGGTGGCGTTGGCAGGGCGTGGGTGCACCATCCTCCTCCGAGTAGTCCACAGAGCGGGCGATTCTAGAGGTGGAGCTGGACATGAAGGACCGAGGAAGGTTGGAAGTGGCTGCGTTGTCATCGAAATCTAAAGAGAAAGATATAGCTTGTGGTTAGAACATGTATTCCCATGGTAATTGGATACAGGATGTGATTCATATAGGTTTAGCTTGTTTTTAGGTCATTGCACAAAAATGTGGACTAAGTTAACTAACAACTACACAATAGGTAAGGATTTCTTATATAATAATGGTAATTAAATGGTATATTTACTGACAAACAATAATAGGGCCAAGTGAAGCTAAAATGTTATATAATCATATCATCACACCATACATACATATTATAAAGCTTAAATTGTACTCTACAGTATTAAAAGCTTCAGTGATAATCAATCTTTTAATGATAAACTTATAACTAAAACCGTACTAATAATTGAGATGTAATGATATCTAAATCTCTCGATAAGATATTTTTACAACATACATGTCAAGGTACAATATTTATCAAAATTGTGACTATGGTACTTTTCTCTCATCATAATCCAAATAATGATTTAAGAATAAGATTTAAAAGTGCTTAATAAGAGTTATTTCAGCATGTAGATTGGACTGAAACAAAGCAAAGGATCATGGTCTATGTAGTTCTCTCTGTTTTTTAGCTGTTGGTGCACCATCACCACCAACAATGAATTTGAGCAAAGAAACTTTTAATTCAATATATTGTGATGGCCAAGGATATTATTGTGAGACTTTTGATGATATGATATCACAATATTTTGGTTATTGTTATATCCCTTCTGAATACATCTAGATACTACATCTAAATTGTTAAAAACTAAAACTAAGTTCATGTACAGTAATGATCTTTTAAGATCTTACCTCTGCTTTCTAGACTGGTGGATCTGCGCCCATCATCGGTGAAAAGCACTAACATGGGCTGCTTGCTCTGGTGATGGTTTCTTCCTGAAGCAAATCGCATCAGCTTCATGTCGATCGGACTGCCGCCTAGTGTCCGGACCACCACATGCAGACCCAGGTTACTGCCTTCATCCATCATCCAGGAGCGAACCTAGATGAAAACAACATAGAGATTGTTCATTGAGTTTCATAGAGTATACTGTATTTTTTGTAGTAACAGTAGTCAGTGGAATTGTACTTACTGCTTGACTGATGGTGAACACCTCCCATCCAGTGGAGTGTACTGGGATAAGCCGAGAAGACAGGAGTTTCCTGTCTTGTGTGCTGTTGGTTTTGCTGGTGTCTAGCACTTGATAGACACTGACCTGAATCCAAAAGTATAAAATATTTATTTACCATGTATTTTTCTAATGCTGCTATTGACTTGATAAGCCAAATGTATATACTTAAATGAATAAACATTTCAGTAGATATTTTTTTCTTTTAACCTTAAAAAATATGGAATACAATTTTGGAAGTTTTATACACAGAACCTGCAAAAAATCTATATAATGTGCATGATGTTTTTGTCCATACCTGGCAGAAATGGTGTCTATTGAAGGCGAGAGTGGCTTGTGGTCGTAGTTTGAACAGATGTAGCTCTGCTGTAAGAATCTTCTCTTCCCTGGACACTGTGGACAAGTTGAAGCTAAACTCCACTTGCTCACTGCGCACTGCAATAGGATCAACAAAATATCAGATACGGCTACAACTAGACAAAGACAGCTACTTAATTCTATAAAGTTTAAAATTCTCACTTACATTTGTCGAAGAAGCTGCGGACTGTATTTCCCTCCAGAAGATACGGGTCCTTGGTAACGCCATCCACATCCGCCACAGTGTTGTACAGGTCGAGCATGTACTGAGGAGCCTGCTTGTGTCCGTGGATGGAAGGGGTGTCTTCCATCCCAAAAACTTCCAAAAGTCGTTTAATAGCGGCGGATCTCATTTCTTCTGGGTCCTCTGTCTCATTTTCCCCGCTGTACGGGTTTTCCAGATAATTTGGTGTGGGTCGTGCCGCGGCGGAGAACAGCAAAGAACCGAAGATCAACAAGAGAAACATATCCGAGCTGGCTGTAGTCCTGGTTCACAGTCGGTCTGCTGCTCAAAGCTGGTGTGACTGGTGACTGAAGATGCTCCACTTTTTATATCAAATGGCGATGGTGGGTCCTCAATGGCCTCAGAGCCTTTGGTAAACAGCAGTAAAGATGCTATTTGGTCGCAAATGTAAATCACCAATCAGGGAATGTAAAGGAGCTAATGGCGGTGTTAACAAGGTGTGAACCCCGTGTACTCAAGCCCATTGTCCCCCACGTCTGGCAAGGAGGTCCAAATCAACTAAATCAAGTGTGTAACAAAAATGTGCACATGCACATGATTGGAAACATCCTTACACTAAATTCTTTTCTTCAATTTACTGGAAAATACTCCAGAACTGACCCTGGAATCTGTCTGTGCATAGGAAGTGGGCGCTCAGTGGGAGGTTAACTGCCGCTGAATGAATCCATTAAATTAAAATAATGGAAACAGAGACAAAGGTGAAAACCAATTACAACCAAGAAAAGTCTGGTGTCAACGTCTACACTTTCAGATTTGCATATGTGCTTATGCAATTACAGCTGGATAATCATCAAATCTTGGCTTAATTTTTGGCCAGATCCCCTCACACTTATGTGCTATGCCTTTGCTGATGTTTCTGTCAATATAGCATGTCATAATGTATATTACGTATATAAATGCTCAGTATGTATTATAACAGAACGATACAACAAATAAAATAACATCTGAAGACAAATCCATCTGATATTTGTTACAATGCGTTTTTTATGTCCGTGCGTAATTATTTTCATTTGATCTTTACGCACAATTACGCACACGCGAAAGTCAAACTGAAACTAAAGAAAAGTTTGTTCCGTCGCTTCAGAGATCAAAGTGAGTTTGTAGTGGACCATAAAAACAGATCACAGAGTTTCTGTTGTTCAGATGACAGAAGAAACACAGCCTTGTTGTTTCGCACGTTAATATCAAAAGGAGGCTATACGAATGACTTGCACGTGTATTGTTTCAAAGGACCGTAAACGATTCAAGTCTGAACAATTCGTTTTATGCCAACGTCTTCACGTGATTTTTCAAAAATAGGTTTGAGATGAACAAAAGTCTTAATGTGATATTTTGTCTTTACATAGGCGTACTGAATCAAATTACGCAGTGTGTTTTATTTTTTATTTCAAGCTAGTTTTACTAAACTTGACATTCAGTGGATAATACTAGTGACCATAAATATATACAGCCAGCCTGTATATGTAATTGTATGTACATATGCACTAAAATGCATCTTAAAATAATAATTCCATCTTTTGATTTGATAGTTCTTTATAATTGTTGTTCTCACTCGATCTGAAGGTATCCTCTCATCTTGGTACTCTGTGAACAATGTCTAAACTTTCCTTAAAGCCACTGCTTGTTTGTTTTTTCATTGTGTGTTTATTGCATGGAAATAAAATAAAAATAGTGAGTATATATCACCACGAGCCTGCTTTTTTCCATGGAAATGCTGTTCTTATAACTATATTTTATTTCCAGTATGGGAGAAAACTTGTTTATCTCAAAGGAGAATGTGTTTTTAACTTTTTATTTCCATGTAATCATGCAGATATCTTAAATGCCACATATCCAGGTAAATTTGACTTGATTATTTTCTGGAAATTTCTTTTAGCAATAGTTGGGCTTTGAGTCCTATAATGACTTCTGAATGTGCAAACCAAACAATAAGATGTCAAATACACGATGCTATTCAGCACTAGTTTTAATACTATATGTGAAAAGAAAAATCTATCATCTTTTATAGTGAATTGAATTCTGTATTTAGTGATACTAGACATATGTATTTGATTTACCAACAAATCTTAGAGCATTAGAGAAAAAAGAGGAGGAAGGTGTGTACTATAATTTTATTTACAAAATATTCTTTTTACATATATTACATATAATACAATAGTAATTTAGTAAATCTATAAAGTGTTAAGGGACATGTGGTCTGCAGCCACATTCCTTGTTCAAAGTCTTTGTACAGGGAGGGGTTTTGGTCCATGTTCAGTGTTCACTCTTGGCACAGACAGGAGCTGATGGAGAGCACAGTGCGTATCTGTCCATACTGGTTCATGAAGCTGTGACTCTCGTATCCCTGAGGCACACAGGAGCTCGACTGACGCTCTGCCCACAAGTGACAGATCGCAGGGTCTGATGGACTCCTGTAACACAGAATAACACATTTAATACAATGTTGGAATACATTGTGTCTTATGTGTCATTTAGTCCTTTCTCTGATTACATCAACAAAATGTAGTGTATAATAAACAAATATAAAAGACTAATGTCTTCACATTTAAAGCTGTGTTTGTATAAGAAGTGTAGGGGCCATAAAATGAACATTTGGTCAGTAAAGATCAACACTGCTGAAGGTGTCGAGAATGGCGGGTAATTGTCATGAGACTTGGGGGACGGTGCTCTGTCTGTTACTTACCTGAGAAGACAGCGGTTTCCTGATGAGCAGCCTCCCAAGCATCTGCCCACATCTATTTCCTGAAACATTTGCAAAACAGAGAAAGTGCCATGAGCTCAGCAGGCCGCATGTATTTATCTAGTTTAGGGCCACCAGCTGCCTTGGGCCCACATCTGCAGACCACCATTTGATTTCACATTATAAATGATAGAACTATCTAGAACTGTAGTTTATTCAGAACCATATATAATACTTATGTAATACAGATTATACTAGTTTATACGGAATTGGGTCATAATATAGTCACTTTGTTTATAAGTTGACTAAGAATGGGGGTCTCTGTCACTAGACAAACCCTTATTGTGTATTTGGATGCACGGACACCTCTGCATAATAAAGGCTGGGCCAGACTGTGCGGTGCCAGACTGCTCAGTGAAAGCTGTGATTAAGTGGTGTCTTCCACAAAAGTGTTTGATGAATAAAGACACTTCATTACAGTGTGCCCCCAGCTGAGCCTACTTCCTCTCACCTCGACACAAAAGCAGGTGTGAATGTCACCATTTAAATGACTCTAGTACTCAGACAGCCATGCTAATCAGGCTCCTCTGCATGTGAGTCAAGCTATTAAAATGCTGTGCTGTGTGCATATATGATATGATATGCACGGTGGTATTGTGGTACACACCTTGAGTCTCTCCTCTTTGACCCCGTCTTCGTGCTGCACAGTCTCATAGTAATACTCCACATGAGGGACTCTGTAGCAGCTCTCCTTCAGCTCACACACCTCCACCGTCTGAATCACCTCCACTTTGTTTGGGGTCTCCACCAGCGCAGAGTCAAACTGAGTGGGTACGCACGAGAAACCCTCTGTGGAGCAACAGGAACTCAGGTTATTTTAAACTCAGATCAGTGAAAGATAAATCAGAAACTAGTGATTTCACATATTTGTACATGATTTTAATTGAAACCAACCTCTACTACATTATATTATCTAATCTTTTGCTAACTACATGAGTCCTTATTCTGTATGGTAGGATGGTATAGTGGTAGCTCTTTGATGTCCTGTGTTGTTTACTGCTGTTCATGAAGCGTCAGGCAGCGCGTATTCATGATATTTTTTACCACAGGTCTAAAGGAGACTCACCTGGCGCGCCTTTGGACCTGGAGCACCCTCCCACGTCAATGACAGTTTCATACGGAGTCTCTGCGTAGTACGTCCTGAGCGCAGGCACGCGCAGGCACTGTGTCAGTTTGACCTCACAGTGACAATCCTCGATGACCTCCACCTCCCGCGGACCCTCGAACAGCAGCACCCGCTCCACGCGCATTCCGGTGGGCTCGCACACCTGGTCCAGGCCGCACGAGGGCAGCTGCTTCTGCTCCGGGCTGTACGGAACCGTAGCCACGCGCGTCCTCTGCTGCAAGTAAAAATTATCCATGTCAGTCACATCTAAATGTATGTTTATAACGCAGATATGTATGGTATAACGTCAGTGAACATTTATTTACAAAATGTAGACTAATTTATATCAACTTGAAGGCCTGCAAAACAAACTAAATCGATACGCACAATTCCAAAGATTTTGTTGTAATCGACACAAAAGTTTGCACCCCAGTGTAATAATGTTTACAGCGCTATAGCGTCTTCGTGTGGTATTACGAGGTAGTGCATGTCCTGACCTTTTTGCTCCTGATGAAGTCCAGCATGGACGGGTGTCTGGAGTAGTCTCTCTGAGGCGCGTCATTGGCCCGGGGAGCTCCTCCACAGTGCGGCCTGCACGTGCCCACGTCCACGTTCACAGGAGCCCCGGAAATATCTAAGGAGAAAATGAATACATTGTATTTCTGACTAAATTGTGTCCATGGGTATATGTTTACTGAGCCAGTGTATCATAGAGCTAAACAATATAATGCATTTACTTGCCAGATCTACTGTGTGATGAAATACCTTCTTCCTAATAACTGTTTCATAAATAGTGACTAATTTACCTTGACCAATGTAAACAAAGTGGCTCTGTCTCTTGCAGCAGATTCTCTGAGTGAACAGATTTCTGTGATCAATGTGTTTGCTCCACACTCCAGGCACTGGAAGACACAATGGAGGGCAAATTATCAACACATGACTGTAAGTAAACATATACAAAATAAATAAAATGTATCATTACTGATGCTACATGTTATTACATCCAAATTAAGATACACTGAATTGTAAAATTATTGTAGACAAAATTATTGTAAAGGCCATTAGAAGATATTTAAGCAATGTGAGTTGTTAGCCCAGGAAATAAATGACTAACAAATGCTGTAGCCCACAGGATACAGGTGGGAGCACAGGCTAAAACACAGGATAACATTATTTAAAGAGGATGTTACTAAGTTCCCCCTGTCTCTGTAAACAGACTGTATGTGTATCCCAGCAGAACAAACAGCAGCAGTACTTACAGGTGATGTAGAGAGCAGACAAGAGCAGACAGGTCCAGAGTGGGTCCATGCTGTAAATCCTGGTTTAGTTTTGGGTTAGTCCTGAGTTTGAGCTAGACCTGAGTGTGACTGTGCTCCTCTGACGACTGGGATATTTATATGGGATCCTCTTCAGGCCCAATGTCTCTGGAAGAGGTGAGGAGGATAATCAAATTTCCATGTTGAATACCATTTAAAGGAGACAGCACTTCAAAGGCTCTGCAGCTCTGAGCAGAATGAGGCTGGAGCGGCTTGGGGCCATTAACGTGTCACATTCTTAGCATTAATCATCTTTTATCTCAGGGGGACGGTGTTTAGCACCTCCACTAAAACAAGACAACAATAACAGCACAGAGCCAGAGCAGCGCGAGAGAAAAGAGCATCACCTTTCTGTTTATTCTACAGGGGACAAATGGCCACAGCATGGCAATTTTCAGCAAGGTTCAGCAAGACTTTCGCTTTTTAGCTGCAGACAGTCAAACAGATGATTTGTAAATTAAACTTTTGTTGTACTAGCTCAAGATTCTATTTGAATACGTACACTTTCACATTTATTCAAATAGCACCTTGATATGAATGACTTAATAGAACAATCTAGAGAAAATCAATAGAAACATTTGCCTGAGAGTATAAAGATAGAAATCTGTCCAAATCAAAGCAGTTGTTGATTGCTGGCCCTGGTCTTTTGCATGTTTGTGTTTGAAGTGTTAATGTGATCCTCATTTTCTCTGGATTAGGAGGATCATCGTTCAGACGGTCGTCAGCCTCAGGCTGCACTCTTTAACCAAGGTGTGACCTCTCCGGTTTCTATAGCTGATCCCTGCCTCTGTAATTTAGCCAAAACAAATCTTTTCAAAAGTCATGTTTACTCTCAATATTTTGGGTAATTTGATTAGGGAAATGTTACTGATGGAGAACATGTGATCGTGTGAAAAACATTATTAGTGAAACCGAGATATCTGAGGCTATAGGTGATTACTTTCTTCCTTCCAGTGTTTCTTTAACAATGCTATGGATCCTACTTGGATTACTGAGGGATTACACTGACATCCAGTGTTTTTGTTTCTGTTCCATTTGTTTCTATTTAATCCTATAACTGTTACTATCATAGCTTTATCTCTAGCTATTTTCTACCTTCTTCTAAAGTCTGATAGCACCTGATAACACCAACATTAAACAGCCCTATTTAAATCTGTCCTAGCTCTCTGGCAGTGATGCACGTGTCCGTGTGATCATGTTAATCTCAGTATTAGACTCAGTGGGCCATGGAGCTTATGATGATGAGATCATAGACAATCCTCCGCGATGCTCGGTGGGGCAGGTGTGGTACAGACACTGAGTCTAGCCCCTGAGAACTGTCTGTCTCTGTCTCTGCTCTGTCTGGGTCAGTGTGAGCAGGACGTCTCCTCTGGCCTCCTGCACCAGACTCCACACTTCACTGCAGCCATTACAGGCGACACACATTAGACAGTTTAGATGTAGATTGTCATCAGAAAGGAATATACATTTTATAAACACATACATTTTCAAATACAGTGAAATAATCCTTCTGGACTTGCCAGGCAAAACCAAAACTCACTCATGTTATCTTGAATCAACTGTCACACATTTTTTAATGTGTGGGAATACTTTAATGGCATTGGAAAAAATGTTTTAATGTAAATTCTTAATGGTGTTACTTAAAATTCACAATTTCATATGACTGTGCTAACATACAGAAATACAGAAAAAAAATTTACTTTTTAGTTAGGTTTTTATTCACCTCCTAAAATATGATTATCATGCACAGCAAAATATATAAAACATACTGAAATATATTCTATTCTCTCTATTCTACTCTCACGGTAAAATGCAAAAATGTGTTCAATAGCAGAATGTATTCCATGTGTAAATTCATTATTTATTTACTGACTGATGCAAAATATGAATTATATCTAAACAAATGCTAACACTATACATTTTTAGTTTGTATGAAGGTATGTAATAAAAACAGACAGTTCAATGCAGAAATAATGCTACTTCATAATATGTGGGCTCCCAGTGTTAAGCCCGTTGACCCTTTTGTGATGACATGTGGAGATCGTATCATGATCCTAATCTGCTGTTTCAGGGAGGAGTCCACAGCTCCAGGATCACAGTCAGGATTACCCCAGTCCTGAGACCAGACCGAGAGACAGCTACCTCACATCTGGACCAATACTGGAGGAATACTCATTTATACATCTGTTTTACAAAACCTTTATGGACAATTTTGTTTTTTAGAATTGAAATCAAGTGAAAACTTCAACAACAATACGGCACAGGAATCATGTACTTGAAAAGCAGACATAATATTGTTAACACTGAAAAGGCAAAGAGGAGCATCAGAGGCAAAACATGTGAGTATTCAAACAGTAACAATGTGGATTTACTAAAAACTATGTTCAGCCATACATTAAGGATGTAGAAACACAACAAAATGTATATATTTGCTGATTTTATAGTTCAGTGTCATCAGCACAGGTATTATTATACCACAATGAAAAATCTAATTATATATAATTTTGATGGCATTTTCAAATAAGTTTTGAAATACACTGTATGCACATAAAACATAACACAAATACTATATATAAAATATTTTATTGTCCCTGTAGGGAAATTTGTCCTCTGTATTTGACCCAGCCTTTAATGCTGTTGGGGCATCATCTCTTTAGTAACAGTAAGCACTGCAGTGTAGTGCTCTGGGACCCATCTCCATGATCTTGTTGCTGGTTTCATCAGGACTAACTTAACTGGACTGTTTTGGGTTGATCTGGGAAACTGGAGAGCCCAGACGAAACCCATCCAGACTCACAACAAGCTCCTCACAGAAAGGCCGGAGTGACCAGAAGATCAAACCCAAAACCTATTTGTGGGTTATGGCAGCAGTCCTATGTCACCATAGCAATTAAACAACTATTATATATTTTCAGTGGGGAAACATCCTTACAATTATTTGCCTGAAAGAAATTAATTGTAGCACTTTGCTAATTCCTTAATTAGCAACATATGATAAAACTTTCTTTTCCAGTCCTATTGTCCTGGTCTCAGCTTTTTTTTAGATGCTTTCCTCATTTAAAATTGGGTTTAGTTGTCATAAAATGTAAGCAAAATGTAAGCTAAAGATTTACATTTAATTTGGGAATTTATGAACCATTAGATGTATATTTTTTTTTTATATATGTTTTTAATATTCTTTTTTGAGAGCTGTCTGACAAAATGTAATAAGAGACTCCACATTTTTTCAACCTTTCTTGAAGTATTGACTTTACAAGGATTTGAAATTCATTTCTTCTTATTTCAGGGGCCCATCTCAAACCTCCTCCATGCCAAGACAGCATTTTCAGTGAGAACTCTCCAAAACTGAGAAGAGAAAAATCCCAGTCTTTAAAAGGGGTGAGTGGAGGCAAGGAGGAGGACGCCCTGCGCTCCACAGTCTTCGGACAGGCCTGTTATGAGCTCACTCACAGCGAGAGGGTCATGGAGGAGGTGACATTTGGGCGCCGTGTGGGACTCTACGAGCTCAGAGGAGAGATCGGAACTGGAAACTTCTCTTCTGTCAGACTGGGCATGCACGTGGTGACTAAAGGTCAGAGGCAAATACCTTTTTTTATGTTTATATATAGACATATACATTTTTGCCATTTTAAGGTATGTAATATGTTGTATTATAAATAATCCACATATGAAGAAATAATAAGTTTATTGGGTCTTGATGTGAGAAGGTTTTTCAAATAAAAACAAAAAGGTTCTTACACCACCATCGATTTTCTTTTTTTTTAAAGAGTGGTGATGGTGGATGGGACCAATGGTGCAGTCTGCCCCAGGGCAGCAGTGCCTATAGTAACAAGTATCGAGTGAATTAATAATGCACCAATTTGTAAAGTGACTTTGAGTGTCTGGAAAAGTGCTGTATAAGACTAATGTATTATTAGAGACATAAGAGACATTTTGTATATGATCAATTTATGTGTGTCTACTTATATATTAGTTTTAAATCTGTATTACTACAATCTTGTATTTCTTAAAAAAAAAAAAAAGTCTAAATCTTGAACTCTGGATTAGTCTTGGCATAGCAAACATTATTGTAAAAAAAAAAAAAAAAAATGCTTGGATAGCTCTTTAAGTATATTAAGATTCTTTATGTATATTAAGATTTAGACTGACCCATGTTGCACTTAGTTGACATTGACATCTATATGACATTTATATGACAGACTTAATCCAGTCTGGGGAGCTGCACGTGCTGCACTAAAGAGGACTTAATCCTTCTTATAGACCATTGCATGTCCATTCACTTTGTCTCTTTGTCTCCACTGCCCATATAGGAGACTTAGTTGTAATTCATTATAATAACTACTATAGATATAGATTGTGTAATTTATGTTTAACGTATAGATTTTATTGTAATTTGAACAGTATAAGATTCCCTGCAAGCAAATTCACCTGTGGGTATACTTATTGCTTATTTTTATTAATGCATGTGTTCAATAAGAGATATTGTCAGAAAGATGGGACAATGATATTAAATGCCTGCAAGCATAATATGTTTTTTAATAATTTACTCATTTGTTTTATATGTATTTCACAGAGAGAGTGGCAATAAAGATCCTAGATAAGTCTCGTCTGGATAAGAAGTCACATGTCCTTTTTGACTCAGAGATCTCGTGTATGGAGAAACTGTCCCACCCGAACATCGTACGTTTGTATGAAGTCATAGACACATTCAAGAGGCTGTATCTGGTGATGGAGTACGCCAGCGGAGGGGAGCTATTCTCACGCATCACCACCAGGGGGCGCCTCTCAGACCTGGAGAGCAAACTGGTGTTCTCTCAAATCATCTCCGCACTCAAACACATGGTAAAGTGACTGGGATTACGAATGCAAAATCAGTGTAATTTATCACCAATAATGTTTACTATAAAAACATTTAGGCCTATTTATTTTTTTTTGTCATGGTCCAATTGATACTTTGCACAACAGGTGAGCTGATTTTATGATGATAAACAAGTCTCTAATGCTTTAAATTGGATCACAGGCTCCTGAAAATGTGCTGTTTAAATCTATTTTGTATCACAAAAGCCGTCACCTCACAGGGCGTCGCAAAAATATGCATTGTAGTTGTCATGGTCTTATAAAATCTATAGATGTGACTTTTTTTTTTTTTTTTGGAACTTTGCCCTGTAGCCATTTTACCATAGAAGGACATTCAGTGCTGTGTTTATTAAATCTATGTCAGTGCACGTATGTGAAGTTGATGACATTTGAGCCCCATATGTAAGTAGCATGGTTCACTTTACAGAACAGAGTAATTTATGACCGCGCAAGTGTACTTCCAACTAACTATAGGAGAATGACCTCGACTTATGTTATGACAGAAACAATACATTTTGAGTGGATATGTTTTTATCTGAATGTAGACTCTCTTTACTTAGCCATGGCGCCTCAGGAATGCTATATCAGGGTTAGTCTGTTCAGCATATGTGGGTGGCCTTCAGACATAATAACCATGGGCTCAATCTATGTCAGTAAGAATTAGCAATGACTAGAGCTTTGTGTGGAGTGAATGAATAATGTACTGTAACGCACTTTGGATATCTTGGAACATGCTATATAAATATTATTACTATTAAAAAGGAAGAAAAGAACTGTCACTGTTAAGTAATAATGAAATAATTAACAGGTTTCACCCTAAAGGTCCTGTATTATGCAAAATTGACTAGTGCGAGCTTTAGGCCATGTCAATATTTTGTTACCTCATCAAAACCATCCCTCGAGTTGTGTTTTAATCACACATACATTATTAGGCTCAAAACACTCTACCTCGTTCTACCGATGTTCTATGTCTTGAAGCTGTAGTTTTAAAGTTATATCGTTTACCTTTTGTTTAAAAAAGATTGGCAAGTCCAGGGCTGCAAACCTGTATTACTGCATGACATCACAAGGTGGAAGAAAGTATTTTCAGTTTGAGAGAAGAACTCAGCCTAAATATGCAAGGTTTTTTGTGTTAAACGTGTGACTGAAACAAAACACAACTCCAAGTAAGATTTTGATGAGGGAACAACATTATAACAAATAAATAGCATAATATGGATCCTTTAAAAATCACTACTGAATCTCTTTTAATTTATTCTTGGTCAGTGTGTATTTTGGTCTTTTAAAAAACATATTTATTTATTTGTTTGTTTTCAAAGTTGAATAATTAATACACAATTTCAGCATGTCGCACTCCCCATTGTTGCCAGCAGAGGGTTACAGTTCAGCAGTCCAAACATCTCCAAATCAAAATGACACATTTTCCATTCACGTTATGTTAAGTTCTAAAAATAATATGACTAACACAAGATCAAAAGATTTTAAAATAACATAAACTATCACTAACCTCCATCTCATGCTTTCTCCACAGCATGACAACAACATCGTCCATAGAGACCTGAAGGCAGAAAACGTTTTCTACACCAGCACCTACTGCATCAAAGTGGGCGACTTCGGCCTCAGCTCCGAGTGCCACCCATCTGACCTCCTCCACTCCTCCTGTGGCTCTCCTCCATACGCCGCCCCCGAGTTGTTCAAAAACCGAGCATTCAACGGCCAATCTGCAGATCTCTGGGCTCTGGGTGTACTTTTATACTTCATGGTTACTGCCACTATGCCATTCAAAGCTACCAACACTGGCAAGCTGAGGAAATGCATTTTACAGGGCGCCTATGCCGTACCGTCGCATGTGCCCAAATCATGTCAGGATGTGATAAAAGGCCTACTAAAACAGCTACCAGTGGATCGAATAAGTTTACCTCTAATTATTGCTAGTGAATGGTTGAAAGGCATTGAATATCCTCAAGCCTACCCAGCAGTTAGCGCTACACCATTAAACCTGTACAACACTAACTATCTACTCAGCTCTGATGAATTGAATGTAAAAACGGCACTGGAAAATCTAGGCGTGACTAAAGTGCATATGTTAAACAATAGCATGGATTTGCGGAGTCCTATTACCGGGGTGTATAGGATATTGCTGCATCGCGTTCAGAAGAGGAGCTCAGTGGAAGCAGTGGGGTACAGCCAGTGCATCCAGGAGTCCAGGGACAAGTGGAGAGCAGGGTCCGACAGTATGTTAAACAAGAGGCGCTCTGTTGTCTGTGAAGTCATGTGATTCAACAATTCAAATGTGTTTTAGTGTAAGTATATGTATTTAATTAAAGATGCACTATGTCACATTTTCATGGAGGGTCTGCCACATGCTTGTCTCTATGGCAGGGGTGGGACAATGTCGTTGTTTTGCAAGTCTCAAGTAGGTCTCAAGGCTTTGACCTCAAGTCCAACTCAAGTCCCAATTCAAAGACAAGAAAGTCCAAGTGGAGTCTTGAGTCACTTGCCCATAAGTCCACATCAAGTCCATGTCATCTGCTTTGAGTTTCAAGTCATTTCAAGTTTTAAAACCAAAGTACCAAAATTTGTTTAGATTTTAGCAATTTATATGAATTTTAAGCTAAATGTACTTAAAAAGTTATGGTATATTTATATTAATATTTATAGAGTTGTAGAAATGTAAATCTTTCCTTTTTAACGTTTTGACCTTACTATGAATTATTATGGTCAGAAGGTCATTATGGTTATGAAAGATCATGTGCTATGTTGTTCCCTCTGTTTTACTGTATTGTACTGTGTATTACTGTAGTACATTTGAGGATAAACCTATCACAGTACTTCAGTTACGTCCAAAATAACAAACAGAAGTAGGAGGGACATGTTCCAGTTTGTTCTTGTAAAATTAATCACTGCATTTATCAACTATAAAGAGAAAAGTATTTTCTAAAAATATATATTTTTTTAGGAGAAGCATCAAGTCTTCTCAAGTCACAGGCCTCAAGTCTGAGTCAAGTCCCAAGTCACTGACCTTCAAGTCCAAGTCGAGTCCCAAGTCTTAGCCCATTTTATCAAGTCAAGCCTCAAGTCCTAAAAATAGTGACTGAAGTCCATCTCGAACCCAAAACTCCACCTCCGCTCTATGGAGATGCTATTGCTTTGCCCAAAATGTTTCACAGTGTGGCATTAAAAGTGTATGGCCTCACTAGAGAGCAGCAGGCAACTCCACCAGGTCAAGTTACGATGCAGATCTGGGGAGAGGCCTGTTTTGCAAGATAGTTTAATGCCATACTACGGAACATTCCTGTCAACGCAGTTCCTCTCAATGGAGACATGTGGCGGACCGTCTATCAGAGAAGTTACATAGTGCACATTTATTTATTTATTTATTTATTTATTTATTTATTTATTCATTCTTACTTATACAGGTTCAGCATCAGTATTTTTAGCCAAGACATACCTTGCATCTGAACTCATTTCCTTCTACTATTACTTATATTAAATTCCCCTGTATTTTTAGAGAGCACTTCATATACCAGTAATCTTTATGTGCTCTCAGAGTTTGTTACGTCTAGGGACAGAGACCCATTCATTAATTTGTGCGGAGGAACACTATAGCAATTCGGCCCAAGGATATATTGGTCAAATGGACTGAAAAAAGACTGGACTAGCAAACTTTTAATTACTGGATTTCTAAGCCAAGTCTAAAAAGGGCCAAAGGCGAATGTAGGTCAGATTTCTGTCAGCAAAAAGTCTGAGAAAACACACCTGAAATTCCCCAGAACAAAGCACCCTGGCGAGAAAAATGGAGATGGACAAGATGGCTCCTGTCCGATGGATACACGAGTTTGCTTGGTTGAAGATAAAGCTAAAACAACTATAACTCACAGTAGTTATTGTTAGACTGTTTACTTAGTACATCCAGTGTGTGTATAGAGCAGACGATTTGTACATTTAAAGTCTTAGTTATGCAATAAGTTCTGTTCTCTTTTTGGAATGAACATTAAAGGGGCCCACGTTACGCTGTTTACTGATCTATGGTGGTATGTTTCCTCATCAAAAACTTGTTTAACACATAAACCACGCCACCTTGTGATGTCATGTGGTAATACTGGAAGTGCACCACTGTGTTTTTAAACTCTATACACCTTCAATAGAATCATTTGGATGATTTCAGCCCCAGAATAGTAGCCTGATTCATCAGCCGGTTTCACTTTGTGGAAATCCGTCTGACTTCGCAGCATTAAGATTCGTTCGTTCGACAGTAGGCGGGTACTTTTTTTTAACCAATTGCTGCTGTTTGGTCGTGACGTATGTAATGCGCCCAAACGCTCAGTGGTGTCCAAGTAATTTCCGGCACAACAGCAAACAAAGCAGAGAGTGAACATGTCTGTCAACGATCATTGTTGTTTCTGCGAGATGAACTTGCGAATTAAAGGTGCAATAAAAATGCAAAGTTTGTATTTGACAAAGGAAGTCCAAATGAGGATAGAGTATGCAGTCTGCTATCGCAACTCGGGTTGGTTCACTGTCTGTGTATTACAAATCCTGACTAGTCGCTGGAGAGAAATGAACTGAACTGAACTAAAGGTAAAAGGTAGCTTTGGAAATATAGACAGACTAATGATAAAGGATTACTCAAACATGTGTGAATGAAACAAAGACAACTCCGGCTATGTTTGTGATGAGATAACAACATTATAACTTAACTTAGAGCTCACTAAAACCCATTTTCAGTTTTTATATACTGAAATACTGCATACCATTTTATGTGACTGTGGTCTCGTGGCATTTTAAATGGAGAAACAATAGAACAATGGAGTTGTTTTAATAAGACAAACTTGAATTGAAAATAAATAAATAAATTCATTGATTAATGCAGGTATACATAACTTCATTTTAGTCTTTTGCCAAGCCCTAATTGAAAACATGTACTTAAAGATCTTTGTAACATGTAATTTTGTATTTAATAAATAAAGGGGGGAAAAAAAAAATAATTGCAGATATTTTTTTTATTGTTTTGCTAAGTCCTGGAGTTGATATGGTCCTTGCCTGTAATTATTTAGAATCCTTGAAAAACTACTGCTGATAAGATCCAAGACAAAATATTGAAATGACAAGATAAACAGATATTTTGCAGTAAAAATCACCACATTTCTGACAGTTGTGTCAAGTTTATGCTTTTGTGAGCTACAAGATAATTTGACTTCTAATGACGCTCATTGTTATGCATATTTTAATTTTTTGCAACCCCTTCTCCTTTCACACTTTGTTTCATATTTTTCTTTGTGATAAAATCTTAAAACAGTTTCAGCGCACGATGCCAAACACTGATTTATTTGTGCCCCAGCATGCAATAGTTCTTTTACTGTCAGTCATGTTCTGTTTATATAACAACTGCGAGAAAACTTGAGATCTCTAGAGGTGGCATTATGAGGGACATTTCTCTTATCTGAAGATAACTGTTGGTATTTAAAGTACCCATCAACGCTATGTTTTCTCATAATTACCACAGAGCTGTCTGATGTTATGCCAACGACTTTGGGCTATGAGTGAATCAGAATGAAAGTGATGTGTCCCTTGACAGTTTAGATGTGAAAGAAAGTTTTGAAAATGACTGCTTACATAAATCAAATATTACTTCAAAATACAAAATGGTTGAAAGATGAAAATAAAGTATTTTCTTTATTATTATTGTTATTATTATTATTATTATTTATTTATTTTATTTTTTTATAATAGTCACTTTATTATAAATTTTTGCAGGAAGAAGTCACTGCCTCTCCTTCCACCATGCCAGAATGGAAGAAAAAATAAACACAGGCCCACCATCTAGACAAATAAGCAAATCATACTACCAAAATGTGTATATAAAAATATAAAAGCTGCACTATGTAACATTCCTGGTAGAACATTTCCCTGCTTTTTTACATGCAGATGTTACATGCATGACCTTACAGATGTTACATGCATGATGTCTTTTCCACAGTATAGCAAAAAACTACAGAGGTAGAAGTACTCAATTACATTTACTTGAGTAAGTAAAATAAAGAAATTTTACTTTTTAGAGTACTCTTTTAGAAGCCTACATTTCCTCCTACTTTAGTTATTGAAGTAACAGAAGTCTTACTTGAGTAAAAGTTTTGGTTACTCTTCCCGCTGTAACTAAGTGAGCTTTATGTATTTAAAGTTTTGTCTTTCAAATTTCATTAATCAATAATCATTAATCAAATTATAAATCATGTGTTTTGTCTTGGCAGTTAAGTTACTCTTACTTGAGTAGTAGTTTTACCTTTAAAAATACTTTTTAAAATCTTGCTTGACTAATTCCTTGGACCTTGTAATTCTAATTGAGTAATATTATTTTGAAGTAACGTTACTCTTTCTAGAGTATAATTTTTGGCTACTCTACGCACCTTTGAAACTACTACTACATTCTTACTACTTCTTTTGATCACATGTCGGCCCCTCAAACAAGTCCAAACCTTTACCCCCCCCCCCCCCCCCCCCCCGTGGGTGTGTCTACTATGTCTGTGCCATGAACATTACTACACAGTACATAGTACTACAGTTTTGAGTGTGGAAGCCATCCATCTCTGAGGAAACACAGTTCAAACACGTTACATTAGTCATACTCAGATCTTATCAGCTGCAAGTCCCAGCGGAGCTTTTTATGAATCAAGGCTGCACATAAATGTCAGAGATCAATAAGAGTCTTCAAATAATGTTATCGGGTAACGTGTGCCAAACCAGTCTGAGAACTTTGCCTCTATGGTGATTTATAACGTGAAAAAGTACTTTCTGTTCAAGGGTCTACCACAGGCTTGTTTTCATTGAGATGTTCTTAAAGGTGCACTGCGCAATTTTTCTAATGGAGGGTCCTACCTGCTTGTCTCCATGGAGATGTTATTGATTTCCCTGGAATGTTCCATGGTGTGACTTTAGACATTTCCATTTATTTCTTCTAGGTGTTTCTATTGCTCAAAATACAATAATTCCTCCACAGATCTGAAATGTAATGTAACCTGGTGGACCTTTCACTCGAAATTTTACGCAGCTCACCTTTAATTTACCTGGAATGTTTCACAATATGGTTTTACATGTATCTATCTTGTATTTCATCACATCAAGGTGGCAAAAAGTTGAAAAACATGCAGCACTATGAGAAAGGCTTCCTTTCCACAAATCTAACCCGTAACTTGGTGTCACCTGTTTGTCTCCATATGGATATATAGTATAGAGGCTGGACACTGCACTGTAAAAGTGGCATAATGCATTTTTAAAGTGGATATTAGTGCAAGATATTGTGTTTGTAGATGTTGATTTGGAACAGTGTGTAGGAGAAATCATAAATCATTTTAACACTCTCAGTCTATTTGCTTAAACTTAGCCTTGAAAGTTCTAGATTGGGTTGTTAATGATGTCAAGCTGTTCCAGTAACTGCTGCTGTCAATAATATGTGACTATGTTTACTTTTTAGCATTTAGGGTTTGTTTTTTCACGTTTCAAGTCCAATATAAATAAACTCTATTGTTACTATTAGTTCAAAGGATGGCAGTGGCTTAGTGGTAGAGTGTTCACCCACACACTATGAGTTTGGTGGTCTGATGCTGATGATCCTGCCCTTGTGTCCTTGCCTAAGTCCTTGCGCAATACACCTGTCCTCCCCAAACCAGCTGTGACTGCAGAAGTATCACTTCTATTAGAGAACTTAGAAGATTCTCATTGTCAATTCCAAATAAATAGATATATTGATAAATAAATACTTTATTTATACTGGAGGAAATTTATTTTTTGGCAGCCACAATAATACATAATAATAATAATGGAGTGTGGAACAAACGACTTCCAGAGTGTCTGTGGAGCAGGACAGGGTCTGGTGGTGCTGCTGTGCAGGGGTGCTGTCCGATTAGGATCTCAGCCACAGATGTGAGTGAGTATTAACATTAAACGTGTATTATTATGAGCCTGATGTGGTTCCGGAAATCATTTTCCCCAGATTATTAAAAAAAATGCAGGCTGACCAGCTTATGGTTACTAATGTTGCAGTTGTTTTAGTCCAAAATGCATTTAAAACTTATAATCCAGTGAAATGTCTTGAAAGGTCTTGTGGTGTTTAGTTAGCTCATTACCCTCAAGTCAGCCTTTAACCTTTTAATAGCATTTTCTTGTGGAAAGTCTATGGCAAAAATTTATAGAAAACTTACTAGCCATCACTGTTGAACTCCATTAGCCTTTAGTCAAATCTCTACAACTTCTATTCTACAACAATGGGATATCGAGATCTCATACAGTATTTGAGTTAATATGTAAACAATAGTCTGATCACTATAAACTGTTTTTTGGAAAAGGGCATTGTAAATGTCACAATAAATTTCAGTCAAAATGAAAGTTATATAAGTTTATTGTTAGTTATATTGTTGGCTACTGTTACAAAATGAGTTCACAAATATAAAAATACCACACAATTTCACATATATAATGTTTCTCTACTTGACACACATTCAGAAATTGCAATCAGAAATGTACAGTATTGACAAAGAATTAGGAGAACTCTATTGTAAGATATCACATTGCATTTGTCCCACCAAACATTATTCAAACAGCTTATAATATACATTGAAACAAGGCAAGAAAACTAGAGTTAACATATAGAGACACTGCTTTAAAATGGTCCCTTTTTCAGCAGTTTGTCATACTCTAAAATGCTGCTGTTATATCCTGCACAGCGAAAGCAAAAGTTAAGCTGCCCATTTTCCTTAATGGCTTTCCATAAACTATGACTGGAATAGCGTGATAAGACGTGGTCATTAGTATATTGCCTTCAACCTTTGTATGGCCGTTTCCTCTTCTGTAAAGAGATAATATACAACTTTTAGGCATTAAAATTCAAATTAGTCAGCAACCTAGATTGTCTTTGTAAATACCGTATTTTGGGATCTCTTGTCAATAGTCTCCATGAGCCTCACCACCCATTTCTCATCAGGGTTAGTGCAGTAGACCCGGCCTCTTTTTCAGGGTGAAGCTAAAAATAGAAAAGTCACAAAGTTTCAAAAATGTATTGTAGTTTTATATTTATTTATTAATATATTTAGTTTTCATAAGGACAGTACATAATAATAAACTTTAAAATATTATGTTATAATAAGTGCCAGATGGAAACTTCCTAAAAGGAATAGTGGTAGAATTTAAGTAGATTGTTGTATGTTTTAGTAATATTAATAATCGTAGTATCACATTAGTAACAGTAGTACTACAATGGACCAGCAGAGTAGCAGAGATCATTATGCTGGTAGATACCTACAGTAGAAATTAAATAGGCGGTAGGAATTGTAGTAGTGGTTAATGGAGTAGTAGTTGTATTAACAGTGGTAGTAGATAGCCTAGTTTAGTTTTTGTGTATTTTATTAGTTTTTACTGTAATGACCATTTACATAAGTAGTAATTTACATTATTTCATGCCATATTCTTACATTACGGCTCTAATGTTGCAGTCACCATCCATCTCCTGTCTTCTGTACTTCACTGCATGCTTCTGAATTAATCTGCTGTGCCTTTTTGCATATTTCAGACAGCAGTCATCAAAAGATACTGTGGACAAAACATAAAATATAGCACAAAATATATCATCTCAAGTTAAATTATTGACATTTTATTATGCAGTCCACTTGGTAGAGTTGTCACATTATCCTATCCTTTTGCTCTACTACACCAATAAAATGTTATCTTGTCATGTTAATATCTATTGTAAAACTATAGAAGTTTATTGCGATCTTACCTTGTGCGACACTGAGGCACACGAAGCACACGACCAGTAGAGAAAGCACAGTGATCCACCTCATGTTGAAGTCTGATAACTGCAAAATATGAGCTAAAATTAGTGTTTACCTGCAATCTTTCTTATCACAAAGCAGTTTTCTCCACGCCTCGGTAGAAAACCTTGGACCCAGTACAAACAAAATATACTACTAGTTTCCTGGTACAGCCTACTTAACCAGTCTGACAATCTAGTCCACAAAACTAGAGCACGTTCATGGGTTTCAGGATAATGAGTATTGTCATAGCGATTGACAATTAAAAAATAGATATAGCTTTAGAATAAAACTCTGACAAGTGACTTAAAAAGCTTTTGCTGAAGATGATTTGCTGAAAATGTGAAAAATACTTCTTCATTAATTATTAGAAAATACGAATTAATTAGAAATAACGATTAGTAATGCATTGCAGAGTGAGTCTGGACATGAAAACGGTTAATTCTCACCACAAGAAATGCAGAATTTTAAGTTAGTCTATTGCACAATTCCCCGTTTGTAAATATAATCCTAAACTAATACAATCATATCATAAACTCAACACCATCACTTTTCATGTAATCTTTTAATTTGAGCTGTGCATAATACTAAAATAATATATATCCAAATTAAACCTACATTAAACGAGTAGGACTGGAAGGGTTAGAAGAATAGATTAACATGAGCAGACAGGTAACCTCACTTAGCAGTTGAAGCCTGGTTAATTCCTTGCATGTTCCTTACCTGGGTGTCTTTAGTATTGTACAGGTGAGTGTCTTCTCCCTCTGTCCTCACCTGCGCAGAGCTTCTCTCTTTTAAGCTACTCGGAGTTGGATCAGGTTTCTGCACCTCACAACCTTTGTACCTTGCCTCAGCTTTCCTTTCGATTTCACCACCAAGCGCAATCAGGAAAAGTCAGCAACATTTGACACCCAAACTTCACAAATCAAAATACACACTTACCTCAGTAAATACGTACTTTTATATTTGCTTAAAGAGATTGCAAATGTGGCAAATGTGTGTTAAAGGTGCACTGTGTTGAAAAAAATGTATAGCACACTCAAATGGCCAATTCCCAAAAGCTTTTATTATTTTTAAATTCAGTTTTGGCAATAAGCTTTCAATTATTTTTGTTGCTTTGTACTACAGTATACAGTAAAGCTGCACTGTGTAACTTTTCTGGTGAAGGGTCTGCCAAATGCTTTTCTCCATGGAGATGTTATTGCTTACTGGTCAGATCTGTGGAGAGGCAGCCCCAGTCACAGTCAGTTTTCTAAATATTTGTAAGCTATAAAAGTGTAATTGAATAAATGTAAGGCAGAGCTGTTTAATGTCATACTGTGGAACATTCCAGGGAGAGCAGTAATGTATCCATAGAAACAAGCAGGCGACGAACCCCCAATTAAAAAGTTACATAGTGCACCTTTAACCATAAAAGCGAAATGGGAGAAATGTTGGTATATATGTAGTAATAAAAGTATTGCCTACCAGAATGAGTATGTCTTCTGTATCTAATTTTTAAGAGAGATAAACTTCATAATCCCTTTATTACACAAAATATACTTTTTTGTGATGTTATGTAGTTTTCAAGTTAACAGCTACCTTTTACTTTTAGTTCAGTAAAGATTGGAAATTCTTGGGCTGAAATTATCCAAATATTTCTAGTGAAAGTGTATGGAGTTTAAAAACACAGTGAGGCACTTCCTTTATTACCACATGACATCACAAGGTGTAATAGAGTTTCTTCTGTTTGAGAGAGGAACTTGGCCTTAATTTGTAGGTTTTGTGTGTTAAATGTGTGAATGAAAAAACAAAACTCGAGGCATGTTTGTGATGAGGAAACATTATAACATAGATCAGCAAATAGCGTAATATGAGTAATATGCTATAAAATATAAAATCTCACAAGAAAGCTGTTCATGAAGTTAATTGGAACACTGACTCATGTTAGCAGCTTTGTAACACAGGAGTTGAACTATTTGGGGTAATTTTGCCCGTAGCCCTCGGGGTGCACTCTAGAGTCGAGACGGTTTAAAAGTGGCAGTTGACTGAGAAATGTTTAATCATCACTTCTGTTGAAAGACAGTGTTTGGCAGCAGAAGTTCAAATGCATATTGTTTATTAACTCTTACTCGCTATTATATGATAATATACATTTAGATTACATAATTGGAAATACCCGATGGATGGGAAACATTAAATTTTTTTTTTATTGCCCATATCAAACTCTTATCAGTGTTCATTGATCACTGACAGAAATAAGAGCTTTGACACTGCACCGCTGGCAACATTGTGCTGGAAAAAAGTACCTGCTTTAGTTTTTCCAAGACAGGGACTTTTTCATGTATGGAAAAATCCAATGTGCAAGTTTCCCTTCTCATCTATTTTTGTACTATTATTTGACCCTTGGGTTTTATTGCATGGGACAGTAAGTGTGAAATGGGGGCGAAGAATGATGGTTCAGAAATTTGCCAGAGCTGGGGAATGTTACAACACCACAGTATGGCCTTGCACAGAGGTAAACTGCATCTTAATCGCTTTCTGAATAGATGGAGAGGATTTCTGCTAACACTTGCTTGACTGCTGCTTTTGAGATTTAACATATGCACGGACAGAGTTGAAAGGTAATAAATATTATATCCACACATCTTTAGGCAAAAATCAGCCCACTATCATTCAAACTGGCATAAGGCCTTGTGTACTGAACTGCTCATTTTTACATTTTAGCTGATTTTGCAACAATCACTTATGTTTTATCTCCAATGCTTTAGAAATCCAATCTTATATAACTCCACTTAATGGACTTTTCATATGAAATTTGATCACTGGCATCAAAGATTTCTCCTTAAGTGTCAAACATTGTATTTACCCAATGCCTTTTCTTGTGACAGATATTAATGGCTGAACATCTGATAGTACAGTTTTGTGTTTGTTTTTTGTTAACATGCCCAGACTCACTCCGAAACGCTTCACTACAGCTTACCCTTATCCCATTACCCTGTTTACCTCTAAAGCACTTACTATGAACAATTCTTATCAGCAGCCACTTTACTAATTTGGCTAGTTTTATTTATTTATATTTGCAGTTTCACCTGTGTGGTTCTAATTACACCAAAACAATCAACTTGCCGTAAAGAAGCTGTTATAAAAGTATGAAGTTGGCAGCAGTTCCCTCTATTACTGGTTGTGGGTGCTGAATTTGAAGGATTAGTGCCAATGAGCTGTCAAAAGATGATGGTCTAATGCCAGAGTTTCTTGGACCGCAGCTGTGGGATGATACACTTTGTTGCATGGTACATTCCTTTTGGACAAAGTGATATGTTTGTGCCATTTGACGTACCAAGAAAGAATAGCTCATTCATTTATCACTAATGCGAAACTTAACTTTGGCAGGCTTGGGATTTGGTGAGAGCTAAAGATGAGGACACAAAAGTTACACTTAATTACACTTGAATGACACTTGACACTTGAATAGTTGCCAGATAATGTAAAGTGTTCGTTCATGGAAGATTGTTTTATCTTGGCCATAGCATGTAACATCCCCTTTTCACTGTATTTAAAAGAATACCGACAGACTTTTTTATATGGTTATAAATGGTAAAAGCTAACACCCACATGACTCATTGGAGATGGAAAACAAGGTCATGCTTTCTGAAAGATTTTTAGGTCATGCGTTATATGTTATTTTGGTACCTTAATAATCACCCTAAAGCACGTGGCCTTGTGTTGTGTATGTTTTCTTATCATTTTATTTTACACTTTTAATATAATAATAACAATAAAGCAATTTTGGAAGTGGATAAGAGTCACAAAACCTATAGGGTTAAAACGCAAAGCACAAAGATGAACAGGTGATTGAAAGTACTGTCTTATCTGATCTGTCTGTATGTCATTGTGTAGACTGTCTTTTGGAGATTGTCCACGCTTCACTGCCAACCTGAAATATAGACACATGAGAAAAGCCATTACGCATTCAAACCATGAGAAATGTAATCAGAGCATTGCGATCATATGGGTGCATGTTATACCCTACAGTTGTTGTAGAATAATATATTTTCAAATTTAATTGGTGAAACTGGGGGGGCCTAAATAAACCGGTTTAAATAAATATAATAAATAAACAATATATTTTGCCTGGTTTTATACTTTTCAGTTGCCATTATCCAAAGGCCTGGCCAGCCAAAACCATACACATTTGCAGAAGTGCAGTAAAAGTAGAAATGGGCAGGCTCACAGCTCATCACGACAAAGAAATTAGGTTATCAGTTTCTAAAGTGATTACGACATTGAAGGAAGAGTCATTTAATTTATTAATGTTTACTATCATAGACATTTTGGCTTGGTGCTAAATATTAAATTATATGCTACTTATATAAGTAGTTTACCTTGGCAAACTATCAATGCTGGTACTCCAAGGGAGAGAAACTAACATGGTCCTGGCATTGGCAAATATCACCTGACAAATGAGATCTTTCTGTAACAAACAGTAAAAACACAAGCAGTGGCTTGTTTGAGAAGTGCCTTAGGGGAATTTTAAGGTTCATTGTAACAAGGAAAGAAATATCTACAATTGTGCAATAAACATTCAGGAGGTATTTTCCATTATATGCACGTATGTTATCATATCATGTGTCTTTGAAGAAACAGCAATTGATCAGCTTGAGATAAACCTGTTAACTAAGGGAGGCGTACAAGTTATGTGGTCAATCATTTACTTGCCTTATTCATATGCGTCATATAGGTGTTGTAGCGCCATCTAGTGGTGGTTAATAGTTTGTGCCTGCTGGTTCATTTTCACCAGAAGTTTCCTTTTGTCCACACATTTGATAGGCCTACTGTTGCCCTATTATACAAAAAAAATAAAAATAAAAAAATAAAAAAAAATCAAGACAGCTGAATTACTATTTGGTTAAATACTGTTGTATGTACTTGAGTGTATATGCAGTAAAAATGGGATGTAGTCAAACTAGAAAATAACTAGAAAATAATTAATTCTGACAAGATTTTTCAATTTACGCAAAGCCAGTTATTGAGTTTGAGTTAGTTAACTCTTAAGATTAAGTCACATTATCTATTTAGCATAGTAAAAAAGGTGCGTCTTCATCTTGCAAAAACAAATTGAAGAAAAACTTTTGTCAGGAGTTCTGTAACCAAAGACTTCAGTGACCAGTTTAGACAACATAGCCGCAAAGGAGCGTAGTTTGGACTATTTTACATTTTAGGTATCTTTAGTGGTCATTGTCAAGGGTTTTGTTGCTGCAGAGTGCACGATCACACGCACAGGCCACGGGGTCGAGTGGAGTTTGTAAACGGAGGCAATGTGCTCCTGTGCGGCTGAAAACAGTGCGCTCCTCCGGCTGCATTATCTGACTGCGCGGTGGGTTGTGGGTGTGTGAGCGTCGAAGTAAAATGGCGGACTTGGCAAACGAAGGTGAGTAAGTGGCAGCGTGAGAAAAACAATACCAGCGTCCTGCCGTGTTAATCCGTGCTTTTACCGTGACCGCATGATAGATAACACATCAGCAACGCCATTCCCACGCCTTAGATGTTAACTTTAGCTTAATTTTGGCGTCAGGGCTTCCACAGTGCCACAGCGTTAGCAGGCAGGCTAATGTGGCTAGCAGCTCGGATCTGTGTAATATCTGGAATGCTCTGAACGCCCTCGGACATTGGCTTACATTTTAATGCTACATTAGCTCTTAGCACCCGGCTATTTATAGTCACTGTCTTTTGCTATATGTGGTAATATTACAACTTTATGAATGTACAATTAAGCACGCGTAACATCCATTGCAATGTAACTTAATACAATAGAGCTGGTCGGACAGTGCAATAATGGCTCATGTAGAAATGTACAGAATGCAATGT